CTACATGGCTCACTTGTAGCTATGGCACCTTATAGATTTGTTAAACATTAATAAATGCTATTAATAATGCAGTTTCATTTGCTTGTAATTGCAGCTTTTCTTGCTTTTTTTGCCCTTAGATTTGTTTCTGTTGTGTTGCTTATACTGTAGATGTAATACATTTTTGTCTAAGACTCACACACAAACAAAACATTTTAAACCATTTCAGAATAGATCCAAACTTTCAGGCAAGAATAGAATATTGGAATAATTACATTTTTGTCAATAAAGTAAGAAATTTAAAAATAAAAATTGGGCTACCAAGTCTAAAAAAGTAGAGATACATAATCGAGGCATGCATACAGTAGACACAGCACTTACCTTGTCCATAGTTTGCTCAAACCATTCTTTGTCCTTCGGGTTGGTGAACCTATCCGCAATAACACGAGTGCACTCATGTTGGAATAGAGCAACCAGTATCTCTTCTTTCTGGCAGACCTCAGAGGTGACTGCAAGGATGCCCTGCCAGATCCTGCTCAGATCTCGGAGGTTGAAGATGTAGTGGAATTTAGCAGGTGTTGGCAGCATCTGAAGCACAGAAAAATACAGTCTTCAGAATAATGCCTTAATACCTTTATAAGACTGTTATATGAACACTACATATAGAAATAAGTTCTCAGTTTTAATTGAAAATTGTCGAGATAAATTGAGTACATTTTAATAAAGATAAGCGATTGGTGATCTAAGTAGACAGGAGATATATACTGTAATGGTCTGAATTTTAATACTTACTGAAACATGTTTACATGTTGAAGAAACGTTACATGTTTTGAAACACTCCACATTTACTTATACAGTAAATACACAGTTTGTCGCTGTATGAGCTTACGGTCATGATATTTTTAAATGGGACTTTATATCTAGATTCTACACAATCCAAACCATACTGACATAAGGAAAAAGCTGATAGTTTGTAAATAAAGTAGATTTGAAAAGAAAATGGGAAGATTCTCAGTTGCTGGCATTTTAGCTGCTTTGCTACAGCAACCCCAAATCAGTTCAGGTGCAAAATAATGGTTTGAATGATAACAAAATTACTGTAATCTTCACTGTCTGTAATTAACGTTGCTTAACTGGACTTCAGATTAAATGCATCTGCCTCTGTAAATTTCCTAAGAATTCACACCACAAGACACACAGTGATATGTCAAACTAACCATGAAGACAGAAGTGTTTTTGAAAGAAATCAGAAATAAATTGGAACAGATGCACAGATGAGGAGAAATGTAACTACTCCTTCAGTTTTAGTGAAGCTCATCATACCAACAAGATACTATTCAGATTAGCCAAGCACTGTAGGAAAAAAAAATGGGAAGCTTATTTAGGATTGACGGGAAAATGGATGGTCCAAAGTACAGGCAAATCCCAAAGAAACACCTGCTTGAATCAACCAAAAATCTAAAACTTGGTTGAAAATGACCTGATGTACAAAGGCAAAGCAAAACTAAACTGGTCAGACAAGAGGATAGTGAATGTCCTTGAGCTTCGAGTCAAAGTCACAACTTGAATCTGATAGAAAATTTATAGCGAGGCTAGATGATTGCAGTCGATCAACTATCCCCCAGGAACTTGTCAGAACTGAAAAAAATTGCCAGGAAGAATGGATACAATTACACCATCCTACTGTGCAATGTGCTATTCATAAATACTGACAGCAGTAATTGCAGCAAAAAATGCTTCCACCAAATACTGTCTTAGGTGGCTAAATGCTTATACAGTACTATTAGTAAATTTATTTTTGTATAAGATCTTTGCTGGTTTTATTGACATTCAATCACAATCATATATATTAATGTTCAATTTGATCATTACATTCTTTAACAAAGAAGTTCATTGGGAAAAATATAATTGTGCAATAATACAGTGTGAAATGAAATCTTGGCAGTGAAGTGAAGATTTTTAATACCAATGTGAGTGCACAAACTAAACACTTTAATGAGTGAAAATGTAAATGCTAGCAAAAAACACAAAGAAAAACTGAAAACTAAATTATGTTGATCACAAGTATTAACCTCCTATGATATCACAAGTCCAAATTAGTTCAGGTGCACAATATTACTGTAATATATACTGTACAGTATATATTTTTACTTTGGCAAAAGAATATCTACTGTGTATGCATACTGTATTTCTATTAATTTCTATTACTGTTAATACCTGGTATAAAAAGGTACTTCAGTCCAAGGTTAAGTGCTAAAACCACAATTCGAAATAGGAAATAAAACATGAAATGAATTTCACTATATTGAGTTCAATTTATTTTGTCACATTTTTTAACTGCCTGAGGGTGGTGTTGGCAATACCCTTGACACAGAAGTGTAGCTTTGCCTTCTGCAGAAAGTACTCTGTGATTCAAGAGCTTCTTTAGGGTCCCTCTTAGAGTTGTGTGAGGAGGTAATTTTGAAAGAGGCTAAAGAATTTAATATACTGTACATTTATCTTCTCTATGGCCTTGGAACATGATACTGTTTGAAGACTTTCCACAGCCAAAATGTACCTTCTTTTTAATTAATTCAAGGTCAGAACAAATTTAGAAAAAAACACAAATTTACAGTCACACTCTGCAAATGCAGTTAGGAAACGTATTAGCATTTTTTTACTATTACAGACCTTATTATCACAGAAGGCAATTCTGGTATGAAAACCCTGCTGATATAAAATCCAGAAAAAAGGGCACAATATTTTTTTGTAAACTAATTAAATTTTCCTTTGAGAACATTTTAAACCTCAAAATAAGAGAAAATTCAAAGTGGCGCAAGTAACCATTTGAAGGTAAGTATATCATAAAAATGAGATATGTAATTTAACTTTTCACAAACTGGCCACGATGGTGATTTTATGGTGAATCTAATCCTCCATGCTAAAGAACTGCTTAACTGCTTAACTATGAGGGGAGCGGTAGTTTTTATTTTTTTCAATGATGACCCACTTGAGTGGGTATTAGCAATCTACAGTGATGAAAAGAAATTATGTAACATTTTACCGATACACACATCCAATATAGCATACAGTCGCATAAGTGAAATAAAGAATCAATTAAAGTGAATGTTAAAAATGCTAATAAGGAACTAACTTCAGTAATTATTTTCGGCCAGGTTATCCAAGCATATCAGTAGTTTCAATATCACCCAAATGTTTTGTCGCTGTGTCACTCAAATTACATAAGAAAAGGGATACTTTTATTTTCTGGCACTGTTAAAACAAATGGAAAAAAAAGTATAAATGTGACTGTTAAAACTTAATTAAAACTGTTTAAGAAATCGAAAAAGAACAAAGAACTTTTTATATTGAAACGAATTTGAATTAAACGGTGTGAGTCTCCACCTTGGCTTAGCATCCAGGCTTTTTGGCAACCGATTCCCTGCCTACACCCTCTGAGTTACTTATATGATGTGAGAAGAGTAAGTTGATATAATGGCTAGATTATAATTAATTAATATACAGCACCTACTTCCATTAAATTTCACTTAATATACATTGTTTGCACATGTATCTAATAATCCATGATTTTACATGTACAGTACCTGCAGTACATCTATTTACATATGTTATTGTATTTCTTTATTTAAGCACCGGTATTCTAGGTAGCTGAGATGCCATTTTATTGAATTTTTAGCTTTGGTGTTGAATTTTCTAATTTGATGTCACCTTTTATGTTGACCTTATTAAAAAAGTAACAATGTTACAAACAACGGTTACAAATCAGTCACTGATTCTGGTCTGAGAGCACACAAACTGGTGTAGGACCAAATAACAAGTGGCTTTAGCTCGGACGTGATTTCCCTCCAGTGCTTTCTGTGTTACAGTACCTTAGTTTTAGTAGCCTGCCACACCCTACGAGTAGTGGGCACCAGAGACCCGGCCAGAGTGCAGACATCAGCAGGGAATCCCCTCTGCTCACAGAAGTAGCCCTCAGCCACAGTGCGGAAGATCTTGTCGATGGAGGAGTTGGAGGGCAGCGTGCAGTTGTAGACGGTGAACTGTCGTTTCAGACGCTGGGGGATGTCATTCCGCCCCCCTCCAGGGTGAATCATGGCCGCTGCAAACTGGATGTCGACCACATTGGTGAACTCTCCGGGCTTGTCCAGGTTATAGAAGCCCCTTTGTTCCATCAGCTGACGGACAATTTCATTAGTGATCTGTCAAAAGACCAGACAATATGAGCTCCACCTTGACTGTCAAACATGATAGACAAGGGGAAGTATACATATAGGCACTGCACTACATCAAAATTATTCTTTATGTCTAACCTTCATTGTGAAGGTTCTTCATTATGTAGGGTTATACTGTATATCCATTTACTGTTAAGCCTGGTGAGTTCACTATGGGGAGCAGAGGTCACGGGGTGGGACAAGTGACTGCTCTCTCTGGATGGGATCCCAGTCTATTAGAGGACAGTGGAGAGGGGATCAATTTAAAATGCCTAATAAATCCTAGCTAGTCCTTCTCTGGGAAATGGGAGGACACCAGGGCATCTGTCAAATGAAAAACGGGGAGAACACAGTATGGGAGAATGTACAGTATATTTGAATGGGTCTTTACAAGCTCCCCTTTTCTCCCACCTCCCCTACACATGCGGTGTGGATTTGATTAGTTATTCTCAATTGCATCAGGAATTTGTTCCCTGTACAACCAGTACTGTTCATGTGACTGCAGAGGTAGAGAAACAGGTGAGCTCAAATAACAATAATAATAATAATTGCTTACACTTATACAGACCGCAGGGTGAGCTTAAATGGTCGAATTATCTATTCTTGTTGTTGGCATTTCTGATTTTAAACATGTAAACACCACAGTGATAAAGACTGAGGTTGAAACTGAACCCTGAACCCATTCGACAGCAGTACTAAGTACCATATCACAGAGAAGTCTGATATCTTGCATTCATTTTGTAAATAATCACACACTGCTTCTTCTACCATTGTTCTTCTTTGAAGAAAATAGCATTTTATATTTCATTTTTCCAACTGCTTCCCTGAAAGTGAAAACCTGCCCAAACAGCTGGATACCACATTAACAACTGTGGTGCAGCTTCATATGGTATCTGTTAAAAGCAGGGCTAGATGGCATATGGAATCTAGATGATTTAAACCAATTTTCCTCATGTATTTTTAGTTTAAATCCACCTGTAGCATGTTCCAAGTCTCTTAGTTTTTGGTCTTAACTTAGAACATCATGGATCTTACTGTAGGTAGCACAACATTCTTCATTATACAAGGGAGAGTGAACTATTCTCACAGTGCTTACAGATGCCCATGCCAGTGAGACTAATAAGTCATTTTTCAAAATAGTATTTGCAAGATATTATCTGATGGCATCAGTGTGAGAGGTGCAAAAGAACAAGCAGATGTTAATTATTAAGAATTAAGGGGGAAAATAAAAAGGAAGGAAGAAAGAAATTAAAAAAAATGCTTTTAGCACGACTTACATATAGCTTCTCCAGAAAGGTGTGGATATAAAAAACTGCATTTGTTTGCTAAATAAAATGTTTAGTTCTGTCACATCAAAATAATAAAGCAGACAAATTGCGCTGAGCACATCTCCAAGAGGTTTGTTTTGTGAGATAAATTAAAAAATCAAAAATAAAACAAAGCACTTTACTTAATGCATCTGTAGGGTAAAAAAATGCTGACAACATTTTAAAAAACAGATGATAAGCAGGATAAACAGGTCTGTGAATTTTAAGGTCCTGAAATGTTAGGGCTCCAGAGATATATCTGGTGTTTACTAAGTTAACTTTTTGTTTTGTTTCTAAAATAGCCTCCTGAGAAAAGATAACTACCAAAATGGGGGCATAACCTTTCAGTAGCACAGCTGTCTGTATTAGATCTGGAATTGCTTCAAGAAATTTTACATTTATGTCTACATTTCCTAGTCTCTCAACAGACTTTGCACCAGAGCCACAATAAATAAAACTAAATAGCTTCTGGGCATTTGCTTTTCTTTTTTTCTATGCAGAAACAACAATTATGAGTAGGCTGTAAATTATGAGTAGGCTATTTCAATCAACTAATTTTAACTATTTTAGAATAAATCTACAAAAAAGAAATGAAATAATACAATTATTTTGGATATGTTCATTATATTTATTTGAATTACACTTCTCAATTATGTATTCTTCACATCTTTAAATCGTACTTGATAAACTCAATTTCCTTGTGCATCCTAATAATGAAGTGAAAAGAGCAATTATGTAAATTGTTAAGATCAAGTATTTTATCAAAACCAGATTAAATGAAAATGACTGATTTTGGTAATTATAGATTTTGGACATTTGTACATGCTAGCACAAAAATAATTTATACTGTTTAGTATATGAGGTGTACTGTTATGAGAAAAATCTTTGTTCTGATCCATATGAATCCATATTTTTGGTTGAAATAATATATTTGTCAGAGAAACTGATTGAAATAATTCATATCAAATTCAAACATGACATTAGAAATACTGCATGTCCTAAGTACAGAGACACTAAAGAATCAATCATGGCTTAAAGGAATGCCCTACACCGACAAGCTTTACAAACTGAGCCTACTGTATTTAGTCTTGGACAGAGAAGATTACAAGTATTAAACATCCTCACAAGGCAATAACAAACTCAACCCAGCAGATTTCTTCGGAACACTGAAACATGAAACCGAGGCCACAAGTGGAAACGCATTGTGGAACATAATGTGGATGTGCATTTAAAACTGAGAATAGGAAGCACTTTTTCACCCAAAGGACAGTGGAAATATGGAACAAGCTGCCCAGCCATGTTGTTGAAGCAGATTTCCTGGTTTTGTTCAAGAAACAGCTGGAAGAGATAATTGAATCTTTTGGCTACTAACTCACAAAACAGGCCTATGGGCCAAATGGCCTCCTCTTGTTTCAAATCTTTCTTATGTTATCAACAATCAGTCACTCAAGCAGGAAAGAATAACAGAGTTCAGCAATGGCTATTATGGTGTGGCTTGCTAAGACTTCCATATCTGCCCCATTGACCTTATCTGACACCAGTGTAAACTTGCCCATTTTAATAGGGACCCATGAGCACAAAAGAAGAGGAAACTAGAGTGGATTTAAACCTGCATAGCCTGTAGGCTACTATTTGATATACTTTGCAGGGTATTGAAGTCTGGAACTGCTCATGTATTTTATTTTTAATTAGTTTTGAGATTTTAGATTATTTCTTCAGTAACAATAAAACAGATTGATTCCTTTCCGACAGAATATTGAGGCAAATGTTGTGATGTAAGTCACATCACAAGGTATCTGCTTTAGATATTTGCTGCTCCAGTTATCAGTTCTTTTTTACTTTATCGTTCCCAATGGTGGTGTAACAACAGGAATGTAATGTAATTGTGTGTATGGTACTTTTTTTCTTCTGTTTTATTTTTATAAAAGAAACTGATTAAAACTTTGCTGGTAAAAAACAAGAGTAAATCTAAGGTTTAGCTTTAGCCTCAAGCAGTCATCTTGTTGCATGGTTTTGTGGCACACTCAAGGTTTTTAATAACGGTGTGTATTTCCAGAGGATTAGGAAGTAAGCATAACTAAATACACGAAGAAGCTTCTGCTTAGCCTCGGAATAGTTTTGGATGACAATCAAATTTTGATCCATGCAGACCTTTCCTACAGTAAGGGGTATGCGTTAAATTCAAAGCGAATAAATGAATTTCAATTAAGGCCATAGAGAATAAATACAGTATGAGCAATAGCTTCTTTGAATCATAAACCTGAAATTGAACAATAAATCAGGTTTCATGCAACTTGCATTGTTCAGAAAAGACCAAAAGAGCCCATGTCTAAATGTGGGTGCCAGTTCTTTTATTAGTTCAGGAATCTTGACATTTTTCATCTATAATTGTTAGTCAAAGGTAGTCAACAGTAGACCTCAGCACCTACCTGGTCTCCCCATTCATTTATCACTGGCATGTTGATGTCATCAATGAAGACCGTCATCCTCTTGCCTGCTGGGGGACCATAAGTGGTGCCCATCCTCTTATCAATGTAACTCTCAATGCTCTTTTGGAACATGTTGGGTAAGGTGGCAGAAGAGAAGTTCAGGCTTTTGGTCATATGGATTTCAGGGTCATATTTGCTTGTGTAACCCTAGAATGAAATGCACAAACATGATTGAAGACAATACTAGTAGCATAGACCAAATATGTAATTTTCAAATTTTACAAAATTGAACACATTTAACATTTTATGGCATTTCAGGTTTGCCACAGTTTTCACACACCTTTAGAATAAGGGTTTATAGTGCTACCTGTTCTCAAGAGCATACTTCGGAAACGCTGCATCTACAGTATACTAACCTTCACCATGACAGTTTTTGCCGTTCCTTGCTCGCCAATGAGCAGCACAGCTTTGCCTTGTTTCATTATGGTCTGCATGAGGAAGTCTGTTCTTACATTGTCCACATTGGGGACCAGGATAGAAGCATACTCAGGAACTGAGTCTTTTGGATATATGTATTCAGGCACCTATAAACACGATTATATACATGGAATCAATAATTAGGTAACAAAGATAGAGATTAGTTCAATTAAATTCTTAAAACAAACATGATTGAAGACAATGCTGGTGTTTTCTGACAGCAGTAACAATATGCAGCATTTATCCAACATCTAAAGCTGTGGGCTATCAATGCATTGTGATTTGAATACTTGTGATTTTTTTATTGCTACACTGTTCTTTGCTTCCAATGTGATATGAAAAGATATTTAATGCACATTTTGCACATGTACCTTTTTTGACCAATGTTCCCATTCTCCACTCTCATTCACAACAAACTCAAAAATAGTCTCTTCACCCTGTGTCACAGGAAGTTCCAAGGTTGCAGAGTAGGTGCGAAGAAAATTCTCAATTTTTGTCCTGTCTTCCAGCTCCAGAAGGGCTCCAATTGACCACATAACGGCAAAAACAAAGAGCCTTGCCACATGCTCTTGGCTGGTTTGCTTCTCCTCAGTGACTGGCAAAAGGCCCTGGAATTATCAGGCCATCATCATTAGCAGCTAACAATTTTCTGCTATAAAATGTTGATCTGAAAACTAGAAGAAAGCTATGGCCTAATCCTGAAAATGTTAAGTAGGACAATCATAACATATATAAGGAACAAGTAATAGGTTTATTCCATGCTGAAAATGCTTTTTCTTCTTTTTTTCAGCATGGAATAAACCTATTACTTGTTCCTTTGCAGCCTACGCATGCTGACACAGCTACCCACCTGAACTAATAACATATATAATATGACTAGCACAGAAGAATTTTCATATCAAGTGTCTATTTTAATTTTTTAAAATGTTGATTTAATGCCATCTATTAAATGGTTATAGACTTCGGTAGGCAAAAAAAAGCTTCAGAGAAAAGACCCATGTGTTCAAATGTGCAAGGTCTGAAATCAGTGAAGAGGCCCTGCAGTAAGTTCTGGAATTAAAGACAGAACAACATAATTCTATATGAACACCTGCATTTAGAATACATTGTCAAGACACTATTAGCTTTGAATCACCTATAACCAAACATCCTGATCACTTTCTCTGCAATTTACTTACTTGTAACAGGTCGATGGCTTGCTTGATGTACATGCATTCTAGGATTTGCATTTTTGGAGAAACAGCAGTGAAAACAAAATTTATTAGGTCCTGCAACAAGAAAAGCACACTTTTAGATTTCCGTTATTTTGATTCTTCCTAAAACTGTATTATGTCATGAAAACCATGAATGCTTTTTTTTATGGGGTTTTGAGCGCAGCTACAAAGTATTTTTAATAATAGCCATTCCCTTCTGCCACCTAGGGTCAATTAAATAAATTGATGTGGATCTCTTTATCTGGAAGGAATAAAACAATTGGGACAATTGGCTGACAGGTGTCTCTTCTTAGTTAATTAGACACCCATAAAAGAACTGTGAGCATCTTATCAACCCTGTCTTGCTTATACTTTTGTGTCTGGAGTCCCTAGTCGAAAGTCAAAATGAATCCCAAAAGCCTGTAATTCAGGCTACGTTGTAAAACCTCTCATCAGCACCAGGAACAGAAATGCCAAATTTGAATTTGTTTCAAAGTACAAAGATGAGCCAGGAGAGTTTTAGAACAAAAATTCTTGGACAGATGAAAAGAGTTTAACCTTTACCAGGTTTATTACTTATTAAATGAATGAGCTGAATGCTCCCCATCCACATTTGTATTTTTTAATCTGGTAACAAAATACATACAAATACAGAAATGATAAAAGCTGTTAGTATTTTGAAAAGAAAAAAAAACAATCTGAAAAAATTGTCATGTTTTAAGCATTCAGTCTCTTCCTTTGGTAGAAACAGTGACAAAATAAATGTTTAGAAATGTATAAGAATCTAAGACTTTATTAGGGAGTGCATTATTCTTTAAATTACTATTTAACTCTATTACAGTAGAATATTGCGAATAAGTGTTTGGACCATATAATTACGGAGTTCCTTGGATGTTAGTATTCTGAAGAGCCAGTAGGTAATGAATGGCCAGTTAAGATTTAGGCCATTAATTTTTCAACAAGTGACAAAGCTTCAGACATGAATTAAAACAGATATAAGAAAGACTGAAGACGTTTTTCATCAATGAAATTGCAGTGCACTGACGTGCATGTCTCAGGTAGAATGGCGCTTTGTGTTAGAGAGGTTTCTGACCTGGAAGACACTGCTGAAGCAGTTCCACAAGACTTCAGACTGCAGCGGTGGGAGCTTCTGCAGCCAGGCTTTCAGAATAGGCCTCCAGTCCAGCACGGAGGAGCTCATGAACACCATGCCATTGCGCGAGACCGTGGCAGGGGACGCGTTGTCAATATTGTGAGGCTCAAACACTATTTTGCAGTTTGGCGCCATAGGGATGCGGTCTCCATTGGCCAGGGTAAGAGTCTTGTTGTCATCAAGTACTGAATTCAGATTTTCAATCCAAATGGCATCTACTGGGCCATCCAGTACTATCCATATGTGCTCTCCCTGAGAAAACACGAATGATTTGCTTTAAACTTTTTACTCCCCATTAGAAAAAAATATTCGTCATTTGATAAGAATCATTAAATAAAGGAAGAAACTGTTGATTTGTAAAATGATGTTGTAACAGATCTCTCCCTGAGTTGGTAGCAAGGAAATTTGCACAACATTTGTCCCTATAGAAGTGTCTAGTCAGTAACCCGAACACAACAATGTACTGTACAGTAGTCATCCAAACCAAATGTAGGCCCCTGCTTTTTCCCATTAGACAATTCACACCAGGTTGAACTCATTTGGCCAGTCTGCTAAATAATGTCTTCTTTTTAACCAGTGTCTGAACAAGGATTTTAAGAATGCAGAGGATTGCTATTACAGTATGTTAACCTGAATTTGTTTTTCATTTGCTTTTCTTTGTTTTAAAAAGAACTACTACGCTTTTTATATTTCGTAGTTAGAAAGAATTGGCACTGATAAGTGCATTTCAAACCACAACGAAAGTAAGATGTACAGAGTAACATCCAATTTACATCACAGAATAGATTAAATTTCCAGGTATTGTATATGTAGCACCATATTGCTTACATTGTCTGTGACAAAACAAAAAAAATGAGGCAACAAAACAAAACTCGAAGCAGCCCTATAATATTGTAGACAAGCAAGCTTGTGAATTGAGCTCTTAGTTAATAGAAATATTGTTCTTTACTTCAAGACAGATTTGAAGAGAAATACTAATGACTTGTTAACTCTGCATGCAGATCACATTGGAACATTTCTGAAGTGAAATATTTACTACAGAACCTGCACTTATTCAGTCATACATCACGTTATGTATCATAAAGTCATCACAGTGACAATTCTCGTGAACTCTCAACAACATGGTGACTAAACAGTACTTTCACAAAGTTCACAATTTTGTGTTAAATTTCAAATTTGTATAAGTTTTCGATGTCCTCAATTCATTTATTTTGTTATCAAGATTTAATGAGAAATTGGGACTCCTGTTCCCACCCAGAGATTTACTTCTCTCTCTCTGAAAGAATTGTGAGGGTCACCCTCTTGTTATTGTGTATGGCTTTTATACGAGAGGCTGTGCACAGCTGCAGCAAATTCCCCAAATCCCTCATGCAAATGAAGTGTGAGGAATGTCTCATCGCTGCCCCCTGGTGGCTCCACCCTTTTTCCACCTCCTAAACCTGGTTGCCCTGTTACTGATGTATTTTAAGCATTTCCATACTCCACATGCTCTAATCAGTTATTTTTCACAATGGGGGGAAAAAACATGGATTATGCAGTCGTTGCATTTCCTGAATTCACAAACAACAATTAATTAATAATAAGATGCAACATTCCACATTAATGTGTTTAAAGATTAACGATGAAGACCCAACTTCAATCACAAGTGTCAAGCTTGTAACAAAAAAAAAATCCTCTAACCTTTTTGGCCTTTAGAGTTTTCCTCCACAAAGTGGAGAACACACCATCTGTCCAGTCATTGGTCGCAACATCCAGTGTCCCAAACATCTGAGAGGCTGTGATGGCTTTGGGGTTCATCCTCATCTCCTTATGAGGGGCCCCGCAGTCTGTCATTGCTTTCATAAGGGTGAGAATACATTTCGACTTTCCTGCTCCACTGGGGCCCAGAGTCATCATACCTGCAAGGAAGGCAGGTGACTTCCAATTAATCGATCCATGTATCCATCTCTTGCCTTGCTGACAGATATACCGTGCCCTTTATGCAGAAATATCGAAGCACACATACAACTAAAATATTTTACCAAAAGCAATATAAACAAAATGTTGATCAAATATTTTAAAGCCACATGCCAATCACATTGAAATTAAAACATGTGATTGGTTAGCATGCTGTTCAGACCGAGAGTTATAATTGTTTCAGAACTCCTGTATAAAAGCTCACTGTCAATGAATGAAATACTGTTCATCCTCTTTACGGTCATTAGACATGCCTTTTGGCGTACCTGACGCAGTACCTGGAGCACCTGATAATTTTTGACTAAACTGACTCTGGCAGTCAATATATTGTTGTATACGTGCACTATGGCAAAGAAAAAATAAATATTTTAATTTCCAGAAATATATTTCAAATGTTATGAGTTCAGCAGTATGTATAAAATTAAAATAATTTATAAGTAGGTATCACTTTGAAACTAGAGGCCGATGTGGCAGATCTTCGTGTGGATATATCCACTCTGTACTGTACATATAATTCAGTACAGTTTGATTGCCTTAAATGCTGTCTTTCTGGAAAATCTGCTGGCATAGCAGAATTCACCACTATCTGTGAGGTTCTGTATGTTTTCTGGGCTAAGAGATTCTTGAGAAACAGGGCTTGAGTACTGCTTGACACCTAAGCAGAATGCAATGCTGTTGTAATGACTCATTCATTTAATTATTTTTTTCTGATCTAACCAGGATACAGACTCTGATCCCCTTGATCCGGCTGTGGGTGTCCCAGTAAAAAACTAAAATTAGAATCTAACCATGACAACTACTGTACTTGCGTTCAGTACTTCAGCAGTATACTTGCACTGGTGTATTCTCTTTGTTTTATACTTGAAGAAATGTTGATGATTGTTTGTTTCTTTTAAATGTTCAATGTTCACTTCTTTTAAATTTGAATTTCAAGACATGCAACATGCACATGCTGTTTTTGAGACAAGCTTTCAGGAAATTAATCAATTTCAAGATATTAAATTTAACATTTGTCCAATATGAACAAGTAGAGGTCAATTCTACTGTATGTTCAAATGTAAAGAGTAAAATAAACAATGTTTTAGCTTTGAAACCTAGTTTTCTAGTTAGGAGTTAATGTTATTCTCCAGGGATGGAGATAGTGAAGCTACTCCTTCACATACCCTACAAACAAAACATGTTTCTTTCTCCTCATAATAGCAATGGTTAATTTAATGATTAATTTACATATCATATTGTTGAATATGTAGAATTACTGTATACAATACTAAAAGATCAGAACATACAGCAGTATATATACAGTAGGTGGACCAATAGGACTGAAATTGCCTTTCTGTCTTCTAGGGGAGAGCTTTTCGAAATTTACACAGACATTTCTCATTGGACTACTTCTTGCTTTCTCAACCCTAATGGAGACAAAATTTAAATTTAGTCTGAATATCACAGACTATGACTTGAAATCTATATTATCTATTTTGAGGGCATTCTTTGGTTCTTCCTTGAATCATTGTTGGTCTGTACGGTATTTGTGGTAATTACAGGGGATATTCAGATACTGTAGATGTCCTGGTATTTGCATCCCTTCAAATCAGAGGTCTTATCCTTTTAAACTGCAGGCCCATTGCCCAGTCTATTGGATAAGAGTATGTAATACACTTTCACAGCCACAGAAAATCAAATTTACATTACAGCTCTTCACATACAAATCTGGTGCCTTTCTTACTCTGCTTTGACCAACAGAAGTTCTCATGTCTCCCTGATTTCCCATTGCTCTCATTAAGGAACTCACTAAGGACAGCTGTCCTCCATTTGTCCTTCATTATTCAAAGCTGTTAACATAAGGCTCTTATTGTGATGACCATAATCACATTATCAAAGGGACGATAAGCAATGTATTCCTAAATTTATTGATGTTCATCTTTTTACCACAAAATAATCTTTCTTACAGTTTTATTCTTCTGAAGTAATGTAAGCTGACAGATTTGCATACACATATCTTTTTTGTTCATATCCTGCATCTCTTGTAAACTAAAATCAGTTTACAGATTATTTCCCCTTCTGCATATGCCATCTAATTAAATTCCATTTTCAAAACCGATTGTGATTTTAATGTTTTTGCATATAATGCGAAAGCACTGCAAACACATTTAAACTAGAATTGAGGTGAAGTTTTAATCAGTCTCAGGGCCAGAGGTTCAGAAGCATCATCCCTTGGTACATGATTTAACTTAGCATGCCAGTCTGAAATGGAGTTGTTCTGGAAAGTCTGCACAGTGGGAATAAGACTCTACTTAAAAGTGAAACACTGTCTGTTTTTATTGACAGTTTAGATTTTCAGTCTTGATGATGAGCATATTTTAACATTTATAAACGTATTTTACAATTAAAATGAAGACCACACATTGTCTTGTGTTATAAGTCTGGAATTTTCTCAGCAGGTTTATGTATTAAGGACTCACAGTTGTCTGCAATTTGGCTGTGATGCTGTGTAGAATCCCTTTCTGCAATTTTTAATTTGATTTAATTAAATTTTGTCAGATACTTAACACATTATGCACCACACTATGTAATTGATTCCTGTTACAAAACTACCTACAATTCCATCGTACTTCATCCACCTAAAATTTATAACTGGTAACCAGTGACTATTATAGTGAAGTCAATTAACATTACATGTAAAATATTAGCAAGTGTTATTATGTATTATAAAATGCATCTATTTTAGGTTTTGCATACTAAATTCAATACTTTAATAGATGAAAAAGCATACATACATGATTTAACGTGCTGTTAATTTTCAAGCAAACACTTTGTTGTCTCTCCAAGTATTACTGTAAGCTCAGAAGAAGACATCACATACTGTTCTTGAGAAATGTCTGTCTCATGGAGAGCAAGTTGGGGTATGCGAAAATACAAATTCCTAATACAAGAAATTGTATATGGCCAATAAAGTGATCTCTCGAAATTTGCTAGAATTGACTCGCTTTGCTAACAAATCCACATTATACTCTAGCCCTTCAGAATTGTTTGAACTAAGGTGTTCTTGTTATCCTCAAAGATCAGAAAGAAGCGAACAAAATAAAGGTTGCTTTCCACCAGGGGTCCTCAATTCTGCCCTTCCAGATGTCTCTAGAAACGATCCTCAGACCTATAGGGAAGGGTTAAACCCATAAATTCTAGTGTTAATTGGACCAATCTAAAGCCCTGGTTTATCTCACCTTGGCACAAAAACCAGCACAATAGAAAGGACTTCCAAGTTATACAGTATTTAAATTATGAGCAGAAAAGAAAATTACTTGCACACATTCAAAAATAAATAAAAAAGGTCAGTACGATACAGAAACCATTATGGGTTCTGTTCTGAAACCATGATGCCATAATTAGTTCTTGCTTTCAACCTCGATTCCTGGAGGGCCATCTAATTCTTCTATTTTTTATTCCAGGCAAGTTCTCAATTTCCGAAACAATCTTAATTTCAGCAACTTAAATGCTTTTCTCCAGGCATCAAAGGGTTTTTTAAGGAGATGTATTTGAGTCAAGTAGAAATCAAATGCAAATATGCTGAGATGTATTTCCATTCATTTTCTAACTGCTTTTTCCAATTCAGGGGGAGCTGGCAAGCAATGGGCACAAAGCAGGATACAACCTGGATGGGACTCCAGTCCACCGCAGGGCTCACACACAAACACCCACACAGTCATTCCAAGGCCAAGGCTAATTTTCCTACCAGATGACCTACCAGTACTGTATGTCTTTGGAGTGTAGGAGGAAATTCAGCAGGAGCAGAGGAAACCGACACGAACATGGTGAGAACATACAAATTCCAAACATAATAATAATAATTGTTTACACTTATATAGCGCTTTTCTGGACACTCCACTCAAAGCGCTTTACAGGTAAAGGGGACTCCCCTCCACCACCACCAATGTGCAGCATCCACCTGGATGATGCGACGGCAGCCATAGTGTGCCAGAATTCTCACCACACATCAGCTATCAGTGGGGAGGAGAGCAGAGTAATGAAGCCAATTCATAGATGGGGATTATTAGGAGGCCATGATTGGTCTCCAATGGGAAAATTTGGTTACACCCCTACTCTTTTCGAGAAACGCCCTGGGATTTTTAATGACCACAGAGAGTCAGGACCTCAGTTTTACGTCTCAGCCCCCGTCACTATACTGGGGCATTAGGACCCACATGGACCGCAGGGTGAGCGCCCCCTGCTGGCCCCACTAGCACTTCTTCCAGCAGCAACCTTAGTTTTTCCCAGGAGGTCTCCCATCCAGGTACTGACCAGGCTCACACCCGCTTAGCTTCAGTGGGTTGCCAGTTGTGAGTTGCAGGCTGATATGGCTGCTGGCTTATGAAGCAGACACATTTACAGTAGGACCCCAGAAACTGACCCCAGGACTCCAGTGCTGTGATGCAGCAATGCTTACCACTGCCCTGCCATACCACATTCCTAAACTAATATGTATAGTAGACCTATAAAATAACTGACAAATGTGAGAAGTTGTGAAAAGGCACTGGCTCTCCTTCATGATTTGATGCCTACCATCTATAGCTACTTTTCACAGATTACTCTCCTTGCACATTGTGGCAGAATGACTTCTCATTGCATGGTCAGTTGTTAAGTAGCCACTGATGTAGGTCAAACGATCACATGCTGTGTGCAGGAGAAAGAAAGGCTGTCAAACAAGAGTTAAAGCATGTGAAAACCTGACTGACAGGGACATTCTGGTTGTCACTGTATGTTTATTCCATTATTCATATTATTATATTTATATTATTTCTTTGCTGCTGAGACTATTTGCATAAGTATCCGCTTGCAGATATTTTCTCCCTTTTTTTAATAAGAGCTTCCCTTTCAAGTCTGTGTTATGAACGTCTGTTTCACGGTTTTTGTTTATTGATGGACTATGTTGAAATAAAGCCATCTTAAATAATTAGTGAGTTAGTATAAGTCATTCTTGTTTCCTTTCAGAAGTTAGTAAAATAAGAACAAAGCCCTACAGAAAAAAGTAAAAGAAGTAAGGCCTGATGAATCTTTAATTTGATCTGTACTGTCAGAGCATATTTCCAGTCCCTGGTGGAAATATTATGCATTTCATTCAGAAGTGACAGAGTATTGTGATCATTGGGCTCTAGTTTCATTGTTTTGAATCATATTCCTTACATCTCCTTTATTATTGCTCCTGGACATATATATGGAGGAATTATGGTACTGTACTGTAGATGTCATTGGAAAATAATTATGTGAATCAATGGTAATTTACTGGTTATGTTATGAATAATGTAAGCTACAAATGTAAACACAAAGACTATTACATAGAAAAATAATTTAACTTTCTCTTCTTAAAAACTTCCATTAATAGATTTTATTAAAAATCAGTCTTTTGTTTCCTCGGTGGTACAACAGCACTATATGTTTTGTACAGCTTTCCAGTTTTTACTGTTTTGTACAGGTTTCTAAAGCAGGGATTTCAATTGCTTGAAGTTCACAAACAAAAAGGCACAAAAATAAGTTTGTTAAGTTTGTTCCACAACTAGAAACGCTGTGGAAGAAATTGCATTCACTTAGTGCTGTCAAGTCAGTGGCTGTGAAATGCTCTCCTGTGCATCTGCCCATGGACTTAAACCTGACAGACATTAAATCATAAACCTTAGGCAATGAGAATACATTTCATCACCATGCCAGGTCATTATTTATACCTAATTTATAAGCTTCAGGCTGCAGGTTATCACAGCTAACATAAGAAGTACAGTATATATTAACGATTCCTAATAACTTAGCTGAATAGATAATCCCAGCAGTGTCCTTTGCATACTGAAGGTCAGCTTTGTCTCAACTTTCTCAAAACAAGCAATGAAAAGTAGCACACTGCTAAACATTAATGTCGAAACCAGGCTTTTGAGAAGTCATGTTCTCACTGGGCCATTTATCTCTTCTCCAGATGGTCCTTGGTCTCACATTAATTTACGTTCAATACAAAATTACCTCCGTCATGTTGTGCATGAAAAATTGTCCACCATATATCATCCAGCCTGCTACATGCTGCTGTGTTTGAACTGCTTTTCCCTGGGCATAATAACCCAGACCACTCACCGTGCCGGACACGCTGCGTCTCGTATAGCTGAATGAGCTTGAGTGTCCATGGAGGGTGTGCAATTAGTCCTGCCTCCTCAGTTTGTTTCTGAATGGCTGCCTCTAGCTCAGGGTATCCAGCCTTATCCAGAGTGATTCCAGGGAAAAGGTCATTGATTAAGCTCATAAACAGAGGCTCATCTTCGTCCACCTGCAGTTACAGCAACAAAAATGGAAAAAAAGACAAAAAGGTTATTCCACTGAAATATGGACATGTCCACATTCATTTATTATGATTGCACACCCCATTGATTATTTTCTCTCTTTTTTGCAACCTTTCCAACCTCTTTTAACAACAGAGATGAGAGAGGATCTTGTAATTACTCTGTGTTCTAACCAGGATGATTTATTGTGATTGCAAAAGCAGTCGTCAGTTTGCTTTATTTCCCACATATATTTCTTTTCTTCACACTGTGAATGGCATTAGGGCCAAAAGAGCTCACGATGGTCATAGAGTGCCGTTCTGTGTAATGACATGCATCTTTAAACAATACTTTTTAGCATTAAAAAACCCTTTTCAAATAACAAGAAAATGGAATTTGTGAGATAATGATGATGATGATAACCTGCAGCACAAAAATCTAATTAAAACCAAAATTAACAAAATCTGGATGACTGGAGGCCATGTTACATTATGTTATTTTGTTTCTTGGTGAGAAGAACTGTTCAATTGCAGTAGATAATTTAGATATAACAGCACATATTTTCTTTTTCAGAATAATTGCATAGACATTTGTATGAATTAATTAGCACAATACTATTTGCTTAGTATACTTCAAACAGAATGCATAAGCTCCTTCTCAAATAATTGTGGAGACAAAAAAAAAGGGAAACAAAGAACCACACAATACGTGAACAAATGGGTTCATCAGATGCAAAGAGCACAAAGAAAATATCACAAGAGCCCAAGGACCACACAATGTTGAAGGTTAATATATCATTATAAGGAAATAGATTCATTCTCCGATGAATTATAAAAACATTGGTGCAAGGAAAGTACAGTCAAGAACCGAATTTTACTCTTTTCATGCTATCAGCTACAAATTAAGACGAATGTATACAATCCAGTGGCCGTTTACTAAAAAGGGACACTGAAACTCTGCAAGAGAAATAAATCAGTACAAGCAGCTGTAATATTCTTTCTCCTTGTTGAATAACCATAGTTTTTATAGAGCATCTATCCATGTATAATATATTTGTATAAAATCAAGTTGTTTTTTATCTTGACCCTGTGCTCATACATCAAATCATGCAAATTTTTATTTGACTATAGAAAAAATGTAAATCCGTTACCTCTGCATTTTATGTTAATAACTGAATAAGTGCTACACTAAGAAAGTATTTTTTTTCCATTTATTTTATTTATCCTAAACTATGCTAGTTTCTTTTAACTTATTTTCTTGCATATTAAATCAAAATGTAGTGCCGATCGGGGAGTGTCACGCCTTCTTATCGAGTGAGATTATGAATCTAATTGTTTCCAAAATCTTAACAAGAGCAATTGTCACGGATGTCGGAAGGGCATGTCGTGGAATGGCCAGGAGAGCAAAAAAGACCCTATGCGTAGCGGCAAAACAGGGGTTAGTCCGGGCTCAGAAGGTCAGACGATGTCAGGTAGAAACCTATGACCTCAGGCCGAAGAGGAGACGACCTGGTGCTAGGCAGGTCTCAAGACAATCTTGCTGAGCACCTCAATGCTGAGCGAGGAGGAAAGTGTGACCCGGAAATATATAACCCAAACAAAGACAAACCGGAAGGACAAGCGAAGCACAGGGAAACTAGGAACAGGACAGAGTAGAAGCGCCCTCTAGCTGTAGAGGTTGTGAAAGCCATGGCCTCGTGCTTATATGAAACATTGTTTATTTATATACAAAAACCAACTAAGGACTTTTTTACAAATGAATCACACAATTTGTATCACTCTAGAAAACTCTGATAAGGCTGGAGGAAGTCCAGGAATCCATTACCAGTTTTGAGAGGTTCATGTCTCTCAGCACTCTCATCACCACTGTCTTCTCTGGCTCTGTTGGATTAGATCTCTTCACAGCACCAAGTGTCCTCAGCACAGACAGAATATTGCGCAAACCAAAGTCATAGTGAACCTGTATGGCAAGAAAAAAAACAAACAATTAATTAATGTATAGAATTATTTTATGAAGGAGCTACAGTATATACTCCTCTTTCTGAACATGAACAGATATCTCTTTAGTGACATTTAAGGGTTACAGTACTGAATTCTGTTTAACTAATGTTCAAACTCAGCAGTTTTTAAAACCTCAATAAACCCTATACTGAAAATGAAAGGAAACACAAAGCATATATTACTGTACTAAGCAGTGCATGATCCGTTGATCAAATTTCAGAAAGGGGTTTCTTTCTATACTACTCAAAGGACTTTACAAAATTCCCTTGGCTGTCAGTCTGTTAAAGGTTCCGGAATTAATTCAACTACTGTGTGGGTCTGCTGCACCTTTTAATAATTCCTGGGGGAAGAAAACTGATCAAACTGATTTATGCTGGCTTAAAATAATGAGTAGATGACTACAAAATGGTAACTTTTTTAATAAAACCCATAAGATGGTGTATTGTACTGAAAGAAAGAAAAAAATATGTTATCATATACTTAGAAATCGGATGATTTGTTGTTTTTTACGCTGAAATAATAATATTATTATATAATGAATTTAATTACTTTTAAAGAAAAATAACAGCAAGCCAGTATGAAACGTGCAACAAAATAATACTTGGAAACAATGGATCTTTTTCAGTATAATTTGTATTCCGGCTAACACAGCACAGATCACACTTTTAAGGATTAATATTGTATGTAGATTGTATTGAAGTCTAAAGGAATTATGTTTATAAGTGCTAGGCATTAAAATGCATAAGGGTCAGCCTGAGCAAGAAAATGTTTTTTTTAACCTATTGACTGTGAAGCTTCATCGTGTAATAGCACAATAAATCAAATATTTTCTAGATTCAAACTGATTTAGTTAGAATGTATGTTTTGTACGTTTATCTTAAGCAAACGTATTATAATGCAACTCTTTAACTCCCCCACAACTCAGCCCCTATAAAAGGCTGAATTAGCATCAGATGGTTCAGTTTCATTACTGGTATATAGAAAGACAATCTTGCTGAGCACCAACATTAATATTGATACACAGTTAGGGTATGAATTCATCTCGTCAAGTTGGCTGTAACTAAAAAATCAGAAGTTGAGTTTTAGGTATGCTTCTGCAAAACCATATGAAAGAAATGAATACGAAAGTCAATCCTTTCTCAGATAAACTCTCATAAATTCTACACATTTACATTAAGTGAAATTATATATCCAAACAGATAGATACAGTAGACATCCATTTCTTCTTTTTCTTCTTTCTATTTTTTGATTCACAATTGTGAAGTTTTAAAATTGTTTTCATAAAGTGGAGCGCAAATTGTGTACTTAAGCAAAGAAAACTTTAAAAATTTTCCTATAGGTAAAAGTCAGTGTAAAATAAACTGAATTCAAAAGCTTACAATGTTATTTTTGTAGGTTTTCAAATTGTATTAAAACAGGGCATTGTAGATAAATGCAGGAAAATACAATGAGCAGCTCCAAAAATTGGTTTGCCATATGAAAAATGTTGCAATTCTTCTGCTGCATTATTTTCCTTGAGATTTACTGTATGACACTTACACTGTAATTACACATTGATTTTACCATTCATGATCATTTTGCTGTAAGGAGATGGTCCCTGAACTGCAAACACTTTGTTGTAATTACATTCAGTCTTATGCTTACAACAAACGTCCACAAAAAAGTGGGTCTGGAATATTGTAGGCAGCCAAATTACAAATTTCTTGCAGCAGGGAAGGACGAGGTTCTTATTCAAGGAGAGTTGTTTTTTTTCATTGGTTGTAGAATTTCATTCCTTAGCACCCAGCTCTTCCTCAGAATGACCCCTTAACCAACCATGAAAGGGATGTGCTGTCTCATCATCGCCACCTGACTGTCTGGGTTGTAAGTACTTTTTAATAGAATATTTCTCTGTTTGCTTAGAATGTGAAATGCTTACAGTTTTAATTCACTCCCACATTTATGGCTGCTAATGGACAGGACATTTTGAAATGATATTTAGAGGCTATTTACATTTGCACTTATATGTTGCAAATGCTGTAAAGTACCAAGCAGAACCACATAAATTGCAATTTCTTTACCAGACGTTTAGTTATCATATGCTATACAGTTGGCATGTAATGCATGCACCTGTGTCATGCCTGTACTTGTGTCATACTGCAACAGTCTCCAACTATAATTGTGTCCCACTGTGCCTGTCTTATACTGCACATGTCTCATACTGTCTCACACCATACCTGTCACCTACTTTACCTGTTTAAACCTGTCTACTGTATCTGTGTCTATTGTTTCTACACAATATTGTTTAGTACAATTTCTATTATGGTAGTGTTGTCTAGACATCTTCTCCCTAACCGCTTAAGTCCCTTTTCTTAAACTTATTTGTTACTTAATTGTTCCCTTTTCTATTTCTGATTTTGTTTTTAAACAAATTTATACAAATATATATAAACCAGGAAGACCTAAAACAGTTAGCAAACAGCTAGTCTAAATAAGGTCGTCTTACAGTTACAAGTAAAAGCACCTTCTTTAAAATGATGAAAGTAAAATGAGTGTTTCTTGAAATGAAGAAAATGTCTAGGAATATAAACTTTGTCATTTCTATTTCTGGTTCTTGACTGTTATATTACTGAAGCTACTGTAGATAGAGATTTTGCTCTTCCCATATTGATTTTCTAGAATACATCTCCCTGATAATCAAAGGCACAGGGTTTTTCAATAAGGACCAAAGCTAGTTCAATCACTCTAATGTTTTTAATAATTCAGCATAAGAGAAGAATAAAGCAACATTCATTCTGAGGTTCACTTTATCTGTAGGAGTACAGAGTAGGAGTAAGGGAACATGTAGCTTGGAAAGCTAAAAATATTTTCAGTGCTTCTTTTTCCTTTAATTAAACATTTTCTTTTTTTCCCCCATTTTAATTATAATCTTTAAAATAAAATAAAAAACATTTCTTTTATCTTTTTAATAACCTTTGGTTTTTAGAGACCAACCTTCAATTTCATTACTTTTAATTTTAAGCTTGTTCTACAAAGGCAGAATAAAATATTTTTTTCTTTTTTTTCAATCTTTCTTTTTACTTTGCTATACTGAACCATGTATATACAGTACTTTATATAACAAACTTCCTTCACTGGAATATGTTTGAAATCCCACAGCCTAGGTCTCTTGATAAGGAATACCTGTTTGGAAAGCTGCTCTTCACAAAGCTTGTACAGAGTGTAAAACTTGCGGCTGAGAATCTGGTTGTCACGAAAACCAGCGCTGGCCAGCTTGACCCTCATAATGATGGCTCTGTCAGGTACCATCATGGCTACAGTGCGGAACTGGATCTTCAGGTTCTCAGGCAGCTCCTGCCGCCCAGCATAGCCCGGATTCTAAATGAGCAGACAAGTCCAGAAAGACACAATTGCATTGAGTCAAAGCACCAGAGTGGCACCCACTGTACCAATGATAGATTTACTGTAACTGCAAATAACATCATTCCTACAAGGTGCTGGTTTGAAAGAAACTTGATGGATAGACAGACAGACAGACAGACAGACAGACAGACAGACAGACAGACAGACAGACAGACAGATAGATAGATAGGTTCATTGTCCATTAGTATATGTACATTGGGATCGCGATTGAAATGACAAGGTGGGGCAATAATATTTTAATCCAAATAATTGTATCGAAATCTGTTCTACTGATCACAGGACATGCTTTTTATGCAGATGGGTATGAAATTACTCAAGGGTGCAAGAGAAATATTATTTGTTCCATTTATGAACCAGATTTTAGGAGAGTTTCAAACAATGATCCAAATAAGGAGTAGGTGCTGTAATTCTTTATAAGGCCTTAAAGAGTAAATTGCATATTTGTGTTTGCTTGGACAATGGATAATCTTTTTATGTGCCTTGACCATGAAATTAAGCAGCATGGCCAATGCTCCTGACACTGCCTAAAAGTTCTTAGTAGAAATAAGCAATTCAGTGTGACACTACAGGTTGAATTAGATTTATTCTTAAACGTAATGAGAATTTGCCCGTTTTTTCATTGTAAACTATGCAGTGCAATTCTTTATTATTTAGGTTATATTAATTTATTTATTTGATTGGAGCTGGAGAAATGTTTTAGATTATTCACCTTTGTTTACTGCAAATCTCACTCACTATTGCAAAGCAGCAATGAAAATAAATATTGTAATATAGGAAACAAATGATAGGAAATTCATGAACACAGCTCAAATGTCAATAAACCCAAGACAGACCAGATTTGTCTTTTCACTTTTACTCATCAACAATATGACTTTTTTTATTCCTTCATAAGTGGAGGTAGTTCATTAACTTGACAGGTCTATTTCTGATTTCCTTTATTTTTATCCTATGCTGTGGAACCAAATAAAACACCAAATGCAGTTATTTGCTTAAAAGTTTCTTCTGGAACCTGCTTTTCAAGGGTTTTCAGACCTGTGCTACATAATGCCAAGCTCAAAAAGATCAGCACAGGGGAATGTTCTTCAACACAATCCTTTCTGGATCAGATGGTGAACAGCAGTCAAAGGAGAAACACAGAAAACCATTAAAATTAAACAATACTGCTCATTGGGAATCTAACCATCCACATCAACAGACAAAATCAGGTGATTTGAAATAAAGAAGCTATTTTATGTTTAATAAGTTAATGGTTATCGTGCACTGATGGTATTCTAAAAATAATACAGTATGATATTTTCCAAATCTGAGGATCTGTTTCATACCTTCCTTACTTTTGTATTACAGTATGAATGCCAAGTATCTGCTAAGTTAAAGGCTTTTGAAATGTGAGGGTAGTTTAAATACACAGAAGTACTGCAGTTACTTGTAGGTGTACATGGCACTCCTATGCAAGGGAGCGTCACATACTGTACCTCTCTGATACCAAAGTGCTTTATCCTCACAGGTACTCATCCTTCCCAAGAGCAATACATTCAACAATGGTGCAGGGTTTTGATAAAAAAAAAGGAGATTGCAGTACATCCATACAGATTGTTTCTTTCTAAACCTAGATAGAGTCCAAGATCTCAGTACCACCACATCATAAATCTGGTATCACAGGTGTTGTTGGTAATTATAGACCTGTAGCCAGGAATGTGATGCTTGCTGTTCCTTTTTTCCTTTTATTTAACAGACCCAGACCTAGAGTGTTCAGGAAATTGATAAGCTGAATGTAATGGCTACAAAGTTTATAGGATTCAAAATGACCGTTAACTACTTCTTTGCTCAGCAATGACAACTACTGTCACGTCCTCTATGGCTAGAGGGCGCTCTTTCTCTGTCCTGTTCCTAGTTTCCCTGTGCTTTGCTTGTCCTTCTGGTTTGTCTTTGTATAGGGCTATATATTTCCGGGTCACCCTTTCCTTCCCGCTCAGCATTGAGGGTTGGGATGTCTTGAGACCCGCCTAGCACCAGCTCGTCTCCTCAGCGGCCTGAGGTCATAGGTTTCTACCTGACATCGTCTGACCTCCTGAGCCCGGACTAACCCCCGTTTTGCCGCTACGCATAGGGTCTTTATTGCTCTCCTGGCCATTCCATGGCATGCCTTTCTGACATCCGTGACAACTACAGCACAAGGCTAAGCAATATGGAAGAAGCATTGGAAACTCTGTTGTTCGCACTCTGTGTGTTATCAGCTGAATTAGTGGTTTTAGCCTAGTTAACCATATAGACACTTTTACTGCATGAAATTTGGAGTTATAGAAAAATAAATTATTTTTAAAGCCAGAACTGACAACAAAATTACTGTTTTAGAAAAATGACTGTGCTTACCATAGTCAGGAAAATGCCGAACTCTCTGTCCATGTCTACCACATCCCCATCTGTGAAGACAAACTGTTGTTTCTTGTTCTTTTTGCACTGTAGCACAATGTAGATCTGCTGGGCAGCCACTGAAAGCACTGGCAGCTCAATACGGTTGAACTCATCGAAGCAGCCCCATGCACCAGCCTGAGCCAAACCTGCACAATACAGCAGACATGTTACTTACCAGCCCAGAATCCCACTTTCACAGGCTTCATTCTTGCACAGCAGGTTTCGTTTTACACAGTCCAAGTAATTAATTCATACAGACCTTGTAGGTTTGCACTTGAGGAACTTCAGGTCATGTCTGACACTGGAATCTGGTCAATACCCAGAAAGCTTCTTTAACAAAGGCTTTCATCCAAATCTAATTAACTATAGACCATACTTTGGCCAACAACATTAAGATTTGTTGGAATTTTTTCCATTTGTTTCTGCCACAAGTACTGCATACTGCTGTGTGGCACAGTGGTGCAGTGGTGAGCATTGCTACCTCACACTGCTAGGGCTATGAGCTCAATTCGAGACCCAGAGGGCTATCTTTGTGGAGTTTATACATTCTCCCTGTGTTCATGAGAGTTTTTGTCAGATGCTTTGGTTTCCTCCAATGGTCCAAACATACTGATAGGCGAATTGGTTTCCCTGTTGGGTGTATATCTGTGTCTGTGTACGGCCTGTGATGGAACTAGACTAGACTTGAATCCCACCCAGGGTGTATCCTGCCTTTCTTGCTGGGATACGCTCCAGCTCCCCTGCAACCCTGAATTGGTTAGAAAATTGATGGATGAAAGTATACTGTTAGCCTGGGACAGACACTGCATTTTCTGATGTCATATAAAGAAAATAAGTATTTCTTCCAAAAAAGGGTCTTATTAAAAATTACTTTTTGAGAAATTCACACTGGTGCAGACACATCCTAGGCTAAGCAGTAATAATTTATCTAGTTTCTTTTAGCTATATAATTAGTTATACAAATTATGCATATCTTATATAATCATACTGTAAATATCGTCAGATTTTCTGTGTATTCAGAGTGGATTTATACAGCAATATGCAATAAAGGAACTCAGTGGCCAAGATGCTTACAGAATAATCATGAAGGATGCGTCTGGGAGGAGTTTGGCCAGAAACTCCTGCAAGATTTGTTTTGTGTGTGACAGAGAGAGCATGTGAGTCACTGCCATCTGCCTTCACCATGATAAACTCCCAAGGCTTCTTAGATTATAAATATTTTACCCTGAAAAAAGACATTGGTGCCTTGTGGTATTCTTTTTACCACCTTATTTTAGATATTTCTGAGCCTCAAAATAACTTGGCACTTTAACCCAGCTAACTAATTATCTTATATCTGAAAATGAAAGCTTCTGTCTATGTTAAGACTATCCCCCTTCACACCTTATGGCAGAGAAATCTTTTCTTAGCATCTCATCATATCTGACACAGTAACTGTGCCAACCAAATACACACAGTTTAGATTTTGAAATACAATGTGAGAATTAACCAAAGTCATACTAAATGGTGGTGTTTATGTGATTTTCAAAATCTCTCTGTGAAAATCAAGTTTGTAAAAATAATCTGTGTATACAAAAAATAAAAGAGATACAATATTGAGCAATTTTAGGTTCATGGTAATGATGAATCTGTCGGCAATGGTGTTAGCAGCACCAAGTTGAACCCTATGTGGCGCCTAAACTGCAGGTGATTGCAACCAACTGGCATCCAAATCCCAAAAGCAAAAGGCAGAAGTCGTAGTCGAAACAAAGAGCTAGGTTGGGTAGCCGAAAGAGTCAGGTCGAGTGGATCCAAATCCAAAACGAGAAGCAAGGCGAAGTCGAAGCAGGAGGAAACAAGATCAGGTAGCCAAAAGTCAGGTCGAGAGTAGTAGTGCACACCAGAGAAAGCCAAGGGTTATTCTCAATAGTGAGCGGGGAGTGAGTGGAGTGAGAGGGTATAAATAGGGAAGAGCGTGAGGAATGACAATTGATTAATTCGTGCGCTGGTGCTGGCGGTGAGAGGTGCTCCTAGGTACAGTATGCGGTTCGTGACAGAATCCATGGAATAACATTACTGAATGGGCTACAGAGTTAAGAATTGATTGAAGCAGTGGGTACATTAAACAACCGAAACAATCATAGAATTGTCAGCAAGATCAAAGGAATAGTTTGAATTACAGTACATCGCTGCTGTGTACACTAGACCACTAGACTAGACCACTAGACCACTAGACTACATAATGGCTTCATAACTGCCACACCAGATTCTATTACATACGGTAATTTGTTATGTATTGCTGTTTGTTTTACTGTATATTGTATAAGATGTTATATGTTACATAATTTGTACATGTACATTCTTAAATAGCTGGGTATGATGTGATGTTAAAACCACTGTCATGAGATTTTCACTTACAAGTATGAGCATAGTAAGAGATAGGGCTGCAGCCTGATCTCAACACTGTTCAATATCTTTATCAACAAATTATCAGCAGTGAACAGTCAGCAGCTCCTAGCTCTATGGTAAATGACACAGAAATCAATTTCCTGATCTACACTGATGACCTGGAGCAGCACTGACAGACCTGTGCACTGAGAGATATGGTTTTCCAGAAGAAGACTCCTGTTAATAACAATATATAACAAATAGGAGTCTGACCTGCCAGAGAGGTCAGTGAAGGAGACAGCACGCAAGGCTTCCATAAGTCCATAAGTGGGATACTCTTCAATATCAGTCCCCCACATACAGTACCTATACACAAATCTGGCTTCAAATACTTTCAAGTAAAAATCAACCCACTGCCCTATACAACAGAGAGGTGTAGGATACACATACAGATAAAGGATTAAACATATTGTGACAAACACCAATAGTGGCCATTTACACAAAGTTCAGCAAAAATGTTCTTCACTGACAGAAAATAACAATGTGTGCAAGGCAGAATAAAGCCGATGTCCATTAGGCCAGAGAGGAGTTAGTCAGCTAGTCCTAAAACTCACTGCTCAAAGCCACAGATGCCAAGCAACCTCAGAATACATCTGCTAGAATATCACAACTTAGAGTCAACCAAATTACAGTACAGCACAAACTAAACAACACTACCTAAACCACTTGGACTAATACTGTACACACAAAATGATGTAAACTAGAATGCCAACAGGTCCTAAAAAGACAACTTTGGCAAAGTGTCTGACCAGGGTGAGATGCAATGTGAAAATGCTAATACAGTACAGTTTCATAGAAATAGAAATAGACATATAGTTCCTGGCTACCAGTAAAGAGAAGCAAAGATAGTTATACTTTCTGTTAAAACACAATATTCAGGGGTTACACATAAGAAATCAGTTTCCAATTAAACTGTCAGTATAAGGTCTAAGAAAAATATAGTCAAAAACAGTACAGATTTGTGTAGCCTTTTTTTCCTTTTAATGCAGATGAAAGAAAACATTGCAGAAATTCCAGAATTTAAACTGATCTTTTTTGGGTTGTTATTTGCAACCTGCACAAAATATACCTTGCAGTGAGTTGATGTTTTGATAAAATTGCATGGTTCTTAGCCCAACAATTTGATCACATCAATTGTTTTTTAGAATGACTTTCTGAGGAAGCAAGACTAGTTCAGAATAAAATGCGGTCTTTAAGACCTACAACAGAGCATTAATCAAACATTTTCTACTTTCCACTTAGAAGCAACTGGAATACCTCTGAGATACAGATACATGTGGTAAGCAATGAGACATATGTGCTACAGGCATGATTTATTTTAGATTTCCATAAAGACTGCTAATGGATCACTCATTCTGCTCCAAGTGAAATAGTTATACAGTACAGCTGCTCCAGGCTCAAAATATCATATAATGCATATGTAATGCAAGAAAGGTTTTGTCAGACTGAAACGTGTCCCTTGTGGATATCTATGAAATAGACTGAGAAAAACTGTCAGCAAGAAGAAAAGAAAAGTTTTAACTGACAAAAGAAGTACTGAAACTCAGTGAGCATGAGAAGCAATACCAGATGCTGAACTTTCACAGCATAGTGACTTCTTCGGAAATACAGTAACAATTGCAGGATAACTGAATGGGAAATCCTGTGTTGTGTAGTGGACTCGGCTTTTTATGCTAAATGTTTTTATGCTAATTCATGTAGTCGCATTCAGCGACAAAAAAATTAAATGAAAAACTTAATAATATGGCAATTTTCACACTGTGCTACACTTTGGGAACAGCTTACAGGGCCAGTGTTTTCTTTACCGTGCGGCATCAATATGGCTTGTAAACCGAAAACAAGTGCGAAGGGGAAAAAAACAACTAAAAAAGGGGAAGGTCAAGAAAAGTGATTGGTTAAGAGTTAAAAATCAAGATTTTAAACAAGTTAAGGGGTGGGGTGAAAGTGACCAGTTTGGCATGTATGGCAAGAATGAATCTTCAATTTGTGCAGAGACAGAAGGTTATTTGTGAGACATATGCATTTGCTGTTCTCCCTGCATTTTATTATTATTATATTTTATCTGATCTATTTTGTATACTGCACGGTACTGTATTTGTTGTATTACTGTCACAATACTTTGATCTGCATACATACACATATTTCCGGAAGCGCATCACTGCCACCAAGAAAAAAAAATGCTCACCCTTATCTCGTAATTACAAGAAATGTATCTCATAATTACAAGAAAATTATCTCTTAATTACGAGAAAATGATCTGGTAATTATGACAGGGAACCAGTTGGCTGAGCTCAAGGGAGATCTCCAGGCTGAGGTCCCTGCTATTCACAGGGAAGGGCGGTGACGTCACCACGCTGGCAACTGACTCGCACAACCTGTAATGTCGGCCGTGTCCGTTACAATACCTGCATCGCTACATGCGGACTTACAGTTTTAAGTTTCATGTTACACGTGATTGCACATGATTGTAACTGTTCATAACAGAACCATCATTGCTTTGATCTCTTAATCCCACAAAACAGGTCCTCATGCCTGTAATGATTCTGTTCATGTTTGCTAAGAATGGCAAGATTTCATTCAAGATTTCATGACTAAACCCCAGTCGAAATCTGTTCAAATTCTGTAGCGCTGGACACAATCATTAAACCGAAAGTGCCAGCCAAGTTCACTGTAGCTTCTACGTGCGTTCAGTGCACAATGTAACAGGTTGTACATACACTGAAGTAAGCGTTGCTATCTCGTAATTACAAGTTAATTCATTATTACGAGATAAGGAGGCAATTTTTTTCCCTTAGTGGCAGCAATGCAATTCTGTACATATTAATACACTTACGACAGATTTTACTTGGTTAAAGGAGGGGAATAGGAGAGTCTAAACGGGTGTTGTGATTATACGGGATTTGGGGTATACACACAAAGTCAGGAACTTAACTACTGCATAAAATGGGACTCTACTATATAGCATATATATTTTTACCTACTGTATGCCCTCTAGAAAATCGGTTCATTCTTTATTACACAGGCTTTCTCCACAGTAGTTATTTTAGCATGTTAAATATTTCATCCTCTTTCTTTCCTCTTTCTGATTTCAATAAAAAATTGAAACAGTTTCAGTGTTTCCTCAAAAAAAAACACATTGCTTTGATACTACAGTAATTTTTTTTTTTCACGATTTCCCGTTATCACAGTTTGTGTGACAGACTGTCCACAGTAGTATGTGCACTCCTTTGAACAAACCCATACTGAGCTGAGGACCTTTAAGGCATTTCACAGCTTTTCAAATTATTTCAAAGCACTGTTTCTAGGGCATAAGAAAAATTAACTCTGATTTGCTGAATGTAAAACTGTCACGAACAGTTCCTTCCGGGCCCTATGCGGACGACACGATCCGGAAGGTGAAGAAACAATAGGGAAAAATATCATGCAGGAGTGGGTCAGGAGACGGGGGGAGTGTCCGAAGAGTGCAGGTGTCCAGGGGGAGTGAATCCAGTGCGAACAATCCAAGGGTATATCCAGAGGGGGAATCCAAAACGGGAGGTTGAGTCCAAGACCAGGGGATCTATCCGAAGTCAAAACAAGAACCGGGTCGGGACCAGAGGGGCAGGGAATCAGGAACAGGAAACTAAACCATGACGGTACCAGACGCAGCAGGATCCCAGGCTCTCACAAAGCAGGATTCAATGAGAAGCGCCGGGCAAACGCCTGCGTCTGGCTTTAAAGGTGGAACTAAAGAGGGGCTGGAATAAGGAACAGATGTGGGGAATGGGACAGAACGAGGAAGGGCTGGAGCGCCCTTAAGAGGAGGAGTAACAATCGTGACAAAAACACAGTGCAGATAAAATGTTTTTGAACACTCAGTTTGTTCTTATTGTTGTATACTGTATTTTAGGACTACAATGCAAACAGACCTTCATGAAAGTCTTAATAAAAGATTAAAAAACCAAGATCAAATATATACTTCAGAAACATAAGATATATTTAAATAATTTAATTAAAAAATGATCCAGCACTATACATAAGTATGTGAACCTTTAGATTCTGCAACTGCTGGCACCTCCTTCAGCAGCAATGTCTTTAACTAGACATTTCCTGTAACTATTTATTGCCCTTTTGCATTGGCTTTTAGGAATTTTGGCCAATTTTTTGTTACAGAACTGCTTCAAGTCAATGACATTTTAGGGTTGCCTTGATAAACATTTCATTCAGGTCCTGCCATAGCATTTCAGTATAGTTTAGGTCCAAATTTCCAATCTAAAATGCAAAAAGTCCTTTTTCTTCAGGTCAGATTCCGCTGACGAACAGATGGCCTGTCTCCTCCACAATTTGCTGTTATGATGACAAGCCACCTGGATGACAGCAAAGATGCCCCAAACCAGTCCCATTACCATACTTGACAGTTGGGATGAAGTTCTTCTGCTGGAAAGCAGTGTTTGCTTTTCACCACAGAAAACATTTCTCCACTGAACTTCAGATGGGTTACCTTACATGAAACCCACTGACATTCAGACATCTCCCTGATGGCTGTTGCATGAACACTGACATTAACCTCAGTGAGAGAGGCCTACAGATGCTTAAATGTTATTCTGGAGCTCTTTGTCACTTCCTGTATGATTTTCCAGCTTTTTCTTGAGGAGATCTTGGCAGGTTAACCAGGACTCGGTAAACTCACTCTGATCTTGAATGTTTTCCATTTGTAGACTGTCTGACAGTAGATGAATGGAACTCCATAAATTTAGACATACTATAGCTTTGTAACCCAAAGACTAATCAGCTACTAATTCACTTAGATCCTCAGAAACCTCTTTTGATCTTGATGTGAGATTTCTACTGATCAACTGTATATGGTGAAGACCAAACTCACAAAGTTTCTGATCATTAAATACAGTAGTTCAGGGCTGCTGAAACTCAGTTCTTGTTTGTTACCCAATTATTTAACCACCTGATTCTGTTTACTCCCTTAATTGTGATAAGAAAAATAGGTGTTTATTTATTTATAATACACTGATTTGCAATTACTTTTTTTCTACTTCATACACCATCGCATCCAAAAAAGAAATGAACTGGAAAATTAAACCCTGTTGGGTATTTAAGAAAAATCTAACAAACAGGTTGGATGGGGCAAATTGCCATCTCTTGTTTTTTAACGTTTGTTATGTTTGCATGTTTTTAAAATGCTGGTTTGGATTAAACAAGGGTACCATGGTAAGAAACTCTAATTACTATAATTAATAGTTTCACAAGGTTTCACAAATATTTTTTCTATACTGTACTGTTTTTGGTTTTAAATGGCTTCTAGATTTGTTTTGCCCACATGAGATGTTCATTGGAATTTAAGTCTTCTTCTCTTTAAACAGAAGCAAATGGGAAAGTTCCAAAATATTAATGTGCTGTTTTGTTTTATTTCTCTGGTATTAATGAAATCATCAGGTAAACTTGAAAAAAGTAGCTCGAAAAAAGGGTATGTGGCAAACTGGAAATTTCTAAAAATAATAAAAAATAAAATAGTACATAAGTTGAAAGTGTTAAAGTACTGTACACCAATTTAAATATGTTTTTCTCATTTGCATTAGTTGGGTCTCAACTCAAAATCTTGCTTTTCAGTGCCACCTAATGGTTTCATGTGAATGCAGATCAAAATGAAAGTTCTTGTTTTAAAAGAACTGATAGGCACTTTCAGAAAATAATTGACTAATTACTGATGTATAATGAACATAAATCATTAATTAATTCACTAACATCTGAATTAAATATATTTTTGTGATATTTGCTGTCTGTGTACTGCTTTAACAGTTTTAATATTTTGTCATTTATAATAATAATAATAATAATAATAATTGCTTACACTTATATAGTGCTATTCTGGACACTCCACTCAAAGCGCTTTACAGGTAATGGGGACTCCCCTCCACCACCACCAATGTGCAGCATCCACCTGGATGATGCGACGGCAGCCATAGTGCGCCAGAACGCTCATCACACATCAGCTATCAGTGCAGAGGAGAGCAGAGTAATGTAGCCAATTCATAGAGGGGGATTATTAGGAGGCCATGATTGGTAAGGGCCAATGGGAAATTTGGCCAGGACGCCGGGGTTACACCCCTACTCTTTTCGAGAAACACCCTGGGATTTTTAATGACCACAGAGAGTCAGGACCTCGGTTTACGTCTCATCTGAAGGACGGCACCTGTTTTTACAGTAGTGTCCCCGTCACTATACTGGGGGCATTAGGACCCACATGGACCGCAGGGTGAGCGCCCCCTGCTGGCCCCACTAACACCACTTCCATTATAAAGCTAGCATTCAAAAGCAAAATTTACATCAGTACATATTTGAATTGTTAGATCAATGTTAAGATCTGCTTTATAGACACTATCAAAATAAGTAACGTAAACTGTATGTTGATGAAAAAATGATTTTTCAGTTAATATTTGCTCAATGTTTTACTTATTGATGGTTTTATACAGTATATGACAGGATAAGAAAGAATAAAATAACATTTTAGGATATTTCAACTCCATTACGCAAACTGTGCAAAAATATTTGCTATTAGGGCAATGCTTCCAAAACTCATAATATTCAGATGTGCCTAGTATAATTTTGAAGTAACACCTTTTAATTTGTGCAGTCTTTAGTTGATTTAGAATCTGATTAATATAGACATAGACATAGAACCTTGCCTTTGTCTATATTCACCAGTCACACTGGTGTTTTGGTTTTCTTGCTTTCTATTTGTCTTTATTTAATTACCTTTTGATATAGATCAGTACTCTTAGAACATAGTATGCTAAATGTCAGGCACATGTAAAAAAAAAGAGGTATTGATGTAATGTCGTGTTCATCTTCTTCCTCCAGAAAAGAACAGAACATTTTGCTTAATTCAAATCAGTGGAAACATTGGAATACAATGGTAGTGTATGAATTGACACAAAACAGGTTTATAGGTTGTGACATGCTTTAGTGAAAAATAAAAACAAGAATAAAAGAAAATACTGAAATTAAATGTGAACGATGTAAAGAAGAGTAATTCTTTTTTGGTGGAAAAGGTGCATATGACTGTTCTAATCTGTCAGATGATATCATGTCACTGAAGGTGTGAGTGGAGCTTGCTGACATAGTTTAATGGTTATATTTCATGCTTTGCCAGGAATAATGCCAGAAATAATGGCTAATAACTAAAATAAACCCTCTTTACCTTTGTATATTCGGCCCAGCCCCCTGTAGTCCATCTGGTCAGAGCAGTTGAATACCACGACATACTTTCCCAAACATCGGCCCATGTCTTTGGTAGTCTCAGTCTTGCCTGTTCCAGCTGGACCTGCTGGGGCACCTCCCATGCTCATTCCCAGGGCTTGGGCAAGAGTGATATAGCACCTGTGGAGAAGGAAACCCAATGGCAGAAGCCAGATTTCACAGCAAAACAGCATAAAAAGAATATTGTTTCTCATAAGAATCACTGTTTCACTAAGGATCTTTGATAAAGCTTTGCAAGTTTTTGCTTATTGTACATATTTAATTATATGAATATAATAAAGGTAAGACATATATAATACTATGTGCTACTTTTGCTTGCATTTCATGTAATCATGACAGGAAGAAATGTTACTTTATACTGTATATAGTTTCAGTTATTATAGGCACATATTAAAAGCGTTACCAAATATTTTTTAGAAATTAAAGATCTAGATAAAAAAAAAACTTTTTTGGCACAGAAAGTTACTAAAATTTAGATCCAAAACAATGCAATGCCCTTATTATAAAAAAAAGGAAAGCTGTTTGTCTGTGAGGGCTCGTAAAGATTTAATAATACACTTGCCACAGATCCATCTGACATCTCACTGGCATATGTCTAAAATGAAATGAGGCTGAAATATGGGACTGAAACTGAGGTTTTTAACTGAAGACAGCTCCTTATATTTATGGACAGTTTTGCTGTTATATTGGGATTTAAAGAACATTACAGTGGTGCTTCAGCTAAATCAACAGCTGACTAAAACCCACTTCCAAGGTGCAACACAACATCTGTGATGGTCAGTATTCCTGATACCAATCCCTGGCTTGAGAAGAACACAATTCATCTGAGGAAATAAATTGAACCTGCAAAGTACTTTAGGTGGTAGAGAAAAGGTTAAAAGTGGATGCAAACTGGTGAATGCCTGTGAATGACCTATTTTGGTATAATCAACAGAATTTCTCTGTCATTTCGATTGCCAGCTTTTAACAACTGAAAGTGAAAGAAGAACTGTATAAGATTAATTTGCTGCAGGAAAATTGATGCCTAATTTTTCTTCACTTTCTGTGCTCTGAAGGTGAAAATGCCTGTCATCTGCTAATATAGGATCAATTCTGTTCAGGCTGTGCGGTCTGTTAATAGACCGCAGACTGTGTGGCAGAGAGCACTCCATGTGCCCTTCAGTTTTGCAGTTAGTTTTAGATATTCTGGCAGTGTTGAAAGTGATTTCCATCGTATAATCAATAACAACATTCTGTATCTTTTTTAAGGTTATTTATAAATGTACTTATTTAAATAGCATAATTTATTAAGTTAAATAGTAAATAAGGCCATGTCGATCTTGTTTACAGTACCATCACCTCTGCAAAATCTTAATTCCATTTAATTTAATTCCATTTTATATTTTACAGAAATATAACACTTTTGCTTTAGCTTTTTCCATCCAAATGGGTTATCGTAAAAGCTGTTTAGAATGGATCTAATACTAATACTTTTGTTTAACATTTTACGGTATAGGATAAGAAGCTAAAATAGTTGTGACATCAGACAAGAGCACAACCAATAGGCTAACTGGCTTTATCAAGAACAATGCCTGACTTCCTGCTCCTCCACATGATTCATTGGAATGTGACAGTAAAAGCACTTTACAATCTGTATTATTTTTTTGGCTCTTGAGCCTGGTGTCCAATGTAAATTAAGTTCAATAAACAACATATTCAGTTACCTGTCGCTCTATAATTTCTGCTGTTTTCGAGTGTTCACTTGAACCACTCATTTAAAAAATGAGTGAACTTTACATTTTAATGGTATTCCATTCCTCATATTTCATTCCTGCGATTAGTATGGCCATATGTTCCAATCACCCCCATATACTGAAATATTTAACCAAATTCTTAGAGCTAAATGCATAATTCCAAGGTTCTCTCAGTAAAAAGTAAAGCAAAGACTTTAGAATTCTAGAAGAAAAACAATATTGTGCACAACAGTAATATTTAGATATAAACTGTTATTGCTTGTAATGCAGTTCAATAGTTTATTGAATAATGATAGAAGAGATAACAGTTATTCTGAGGATTAACACAACACAGAAAACAATTGCCATACTAGACATTAAAATCAGCTGCTTTTACTATATGTCATTTTAACTGTTTTACTGCTTTGCAGTAATTGTATTTGTGTGGTTTTATGTGATAATAATGTAATGGTAATGTTTCTTTATTAGCCCTATACAATTTCTTGCATTAGGAATTTGTCTTTTCGCATACCCCAGCTTTTCTCCATGGAGACACAGACACAGAGAGGGAGAGAGCCTGGGGTCAGAGAGCAGGGTCTGCCATTGTACGGCGCCCCTGGAGCAGTTAGGGTTAAGGGGTGCTCAGGGGCCCAGCAGAGTAGGATTCCTCTGCCAGTCACAGGATTTGAACCGGCAACCTTCCAGCCACAGGTGCAGATCCTTAGCCACAGAGCCACCGCTCCCCCCTTTATTTTTATTTCCCAATGTGTCCCCCACACTGCCCAATATTATGGAGCCACTGACTAACATGAACAGACTTAAGCACACCAAAACAGAGGACTCATTTACAGTACAGTGGGCCTGATTCAAACAGAGACAGGTAGGCTTGGAATGGTTGATAAACTGACTTGTGATAGCCCCTAAGCCCTTTTAGCATATATCATTTAAATATAATAAACAAAGAAATGGACTAATAACATGAGATACCCCAAGGTATGAAAAAAATATTAACTTGGCAGTGGAGCCAAAAGCCTTCCTGACAATGCCAAATGCACTACAAGGGACTGTATACTAACTAAAAAACAACTTCAATTTGTTAATTAAAATCCCATGCTCTGTCATTCAGTTGTCCCTTGGAATCCACACAGAGAGTGCTTTATTAAAAGTACTTTGAGAATATACAGTACAGTATATTTTTGGCCCTGATTCAAATTCTCATAAGTGGTACAGGTCTTGTGCTTTCAAAAGCACTAATACTTTTTTTTTAATGCAGGGCTATGTATTTTTGATGACAAATGTTAGCTAATCATTGGTTTTTACCTCCTACTCTCACCCTCACATATAGCCCTACTGCCCCACCACACTCACATGTACTGACACACATACCTCAATAGTTCCTGCTTTATCCTAAGAATGTTAGCATTGTGTGGCTGTCAATAATGACGGCAAACCTGACTCCTGGCAGAGGAGAACAGTATCACTAATGGCTGCTGCAGATCTTCACTTTCTATCACGACCTGGATGAACACGAACTAGACAATTATGATTGTAATATAGAAAATGTGCCTCTTGATGTTCATCCTCAGCATTCAGTGGAAAGTCAATGTGAATGGAACATGTGAATTGTTTTAATAATCACTAAAAAGCTTAGCATTAAAATTCTGGTTCTAGGCTTAGTGTTAATATCTGTAATAAATAGTATATATATATATCAGTGCCCCTGTTGGCTATTGCTAATTAGAAAATGTATCATTAAAAGACATTCCAGTGAGACTGGAACTACAAAGGTGTCCTTGAACAACAGATTATTTTTCATCCTGTCTTTCCTTACTTTACAGGGCAACAGAGTACAAGGTGCACCCTTTGAAATCTGGTGAATAAAGGACACTAGACTTTTGTTGGATACATTGGATTAATGCAATTAAAAATTAAATAAAATTTTGAAAATCTCACACATGCCTCAGGAATTTGTGAGAAGAAATAACAGGTCTTTTTAAATGACATTTTTTTAAATACACTTTTTTATGAATATAATTAATTTTATGAAATGAAGAGAATACAGAAAAGCAGACAAATTGCTGTTTGTATTCTGGAATCGCACAGTTGTTGTGAAAAGCAAATTGTTTTATGCAAGAATATATTAAAATGTCTGGAGCAGTAAAGGAGTCAGAAAAAGCCATTATATTCACAATAGGAGAGGATAGGAAAGGTGCCAAACAGTCAGTAACTGAAGATAAAAACAAAGGATAACTATTTCAAGTTTACAGTGAAACCTTTTACAACGCTTTTTTTCCTTTTAATTTTTCACACCTTTGTAGAGCCACATCAGTTAACCAAAATTTAAAATATTTAAATGTTAATACCAACAGGGATAAAAGTGTGAGTTTTCTATAATACTGTCAGAGATGCTAATATCATTCTGCTTCAAAAGTCCTTTGTGTTTAACAGTGATAAACAGCATATTAAATTGCAAACTTATTTTTACTCACGGAATAAAAAAGAAAAGGAAATTATGTTTAAAAGTATATGCAGGGGTAATTTAATCTTTGCTATTTAACATTACTTCACAGAAAGGATCTTGGCCAAAATATATAAATAATTATAGTGTATATTTTCAAAGAATGGTTCAAACAAATTAATGCTTCTCCTTTGTAATTGTATTATGTTTCAACCAGGTTCCTGGTACAAGCCTTGACTTACTGTTGGTTACTCTGAGCAAGATACAGTGTGTTGGAAAAGTATTCAGACCCTTAGTGTTTTCACAGTGTTGCTTTAAAGCTTGCAGGCATGACACTTCAAAGTATTAATTTTTAATTAATTTTTGTTGTATACACAACTTATTCTATTCTCTTTTCAAAGAAAGGACTAAATACATAATTAATGTGACAGAAAAAAGGAAAAGTCATGATCAACCTCCTTATTCATGAACCTTAGAATCACTTCTTATCACTATTGTAGTCCCTCCTCTTAAGGGTGCTCTGGCTCTTTCGTATTTTACCCGATTACATGCACCTGCCCCAATATCCTGCCCCTCCTTATCTAAGCCTGGCGCTCTCACTATTGCAGGCTAAGCACTGGGAAATGGACGCCCAGAAGACCGCCTACCAGCAGGTCCAGGAGAATCCCGATGGCATAGGCTTAATCACGGCGTCATGACCATCTGAGTCCAGTGCTAGGAGTGTCTGGCCTCGTCATCCTGTATTTATTCCCTGTCCCTGTACCAAATCCCGTTCCGGTTTTTAATCTCTGTCTCGTTTGGATCATCCGGATTTGGACTTTTGGACTTCGCCCCGGATTTCCCCCTGGACTCCCTTGGACATGTTTGCCATGGCCACGCCCCCCGAGCACCAGTTCACCATCGTCACACCCCCCTGTCTGTCAACCCCTCCTGATCCTCATCACCTCCTCCCTGTCGTTCTCCTCCACTTACTTTCAGATTATACCATCTGCATAGGGTCCAGTCTTACGCTTCACGGGATAGAAGTTACACTTCTATCATTAAAAATGCAGCACAGTCCAGAGGAAACAAGCGAAAATTTACAGGAAGCTTATGTAAGATGTTGAATAAGAAGCACTTCTTGAAGTACTTTTTTATACAAAGGGTTGTCAGCCCATGATCTTGAAGCTGAAATCCAGAAATCCTTCTAGAGAATCTGGAAGAATGTAGCTCAGGGTAAGCATCGCCTTAAGTCACTAGAGGGCAGCTCAAGGACATTCCAGAGAGGGGAAAAACTTGCCTTATCAAGGTGGTTGTGAAATAAAAAATGTAGCTAATCTTTATGAGATTACTCTACAAATAGGTCTGGCACATGTACACATCCTATCTTGTAGTGAGATCAGAAGGTGAGACTATATTGGTGCAGTTTGTTGGGATCAGTCTCATGGTGACTCTGGTAAGGTTCATTTTAGGGTCAAAACAGGAGAGGGTTGCTGCCTGCTGGCTCAGTTTTAGAAAAGGTTGCAAAAAAGATTTACAGTGGCTATTACCAGTTAGCCCACTTTCCAAGGAACCAGAGCTCTGTTGATAAAGGATGTGGGACAAATCCCTGTCAGCCAGTGGGTGGGACTGAAGGAACCCCGTAAGGTTAAGACAGGAAGGTTAAGGACAATTACAGAGGGTTAGGAAAGTCTGGCCTCGGCTCTACTTCTGTATTTTCCCATAGAAAAGGGGTTTCATGTGCATAGGTGATCTGTCTCCATAGAACCTCTTGAAGAAAATGATGCATTCCCAATGATTACCAACCAGAAAACTTACACAAACTTAATGGCATCCTTTTGTGTGTAACCTTTCTGTGTATAAGCTAAATTACAATAATAGTTGTAATAACATTACTATTACATGGATTGGGTGGATTTTCACTGGATTCTATATTTAGCGGTCGGTTTTATAAGTGGGAAACCTCCTCACTATTTAAGAAAGAACTGACTTTGTTTAAGGCCCTTAGGTTTAAAAAACAGTGATACTAATCTGCCTAAAAATACAGGTAGAAGAAGGAAAACTCTGGTAACTAAAAACTTTGGTAAAATACACATTAGACATCCCATATAAGGGATACACCCTATACAGTACATACATCAGATATACTGTAATCTTTACCTGTCTGTTAAGGGTGTTATAACCAGTCTGTCAGTGCAGCCAAGGTACTCATTGCAGTAGTTGAACTCCACATCAGTTATCTGGATGACACACTTGTCTGTGTCCTCTATGAAGTAGAACCGGGACTGCTTCTGCCACTCAAAGTCAGAGGCTGATCGGATGTTCATGCGCACCTGTGGAATAGTTATGTTAAAAGTGCAGTGAGTGGAATGAAGACACCCAAGGCTTCATCCACACCGCTGGACTGTGTATGAACAATTTTAATCTTAATTTTATTTGTTTACTTTAGAGAGCTTTTTTTTGGTCCCTATGTTTTAAAAATTATTTTAATTAACAATCAAGATGCACAACGTAGAAGTGTTGAAGTTCAGCACACAACATTAAACTGCACACTGATAATTATACAATTAATTCAGAGTTGTTGATAGGTAAAGCAATATGACAATGGAGCAGAGAGTACTGCTGAAAGATGTTTCTGAAGGTGATAGATATTGGAAAGCAAAACAAAGCTCACCAGGTCGTCAAATATATCCTTCTGGTGCACATGAATGGTGATTAGAGTCTCATACTTTGTTCGTTCAATCTTTGTTAGGTCCTTGGTTGTCATGTCAATCAGGTCATTCAAGATATCCAAGAACTTCTGATTGGTGGTCTGCATAATCTGTGTTCCATCCATGCAAATGAGAAAACAAATACTGAATTTTTGACCTGCTTTATTGCTTTCTTGTTTCATTCATTTCATGGGGTTGCTGAAATACAGCTACAGTATATACTATAGTTGTATTGAGTAGCTTATTAGTTGTATTATATACTGTATGATAGGTTTTCATAACTTCATCTTATTTCAGCAAAATCAATGTAACAAAAACCCTCACAAATTTAGTATGCTGTGGCTTATTCAATATCACATCCAACAACATCTTAAAAACAAAATCTGCTATTTCCCTTGAGACTAGGGCATCTGTAACAACTGGGAACACTATTTGTGTTGGCACTAATATTCTAAATGAGCTTAATGTATCTTAGCTACAGCCACGATATACTAAAAAACTCTAAAGCTTTGTTAATATGTATAGTTGTTCAGAAAACAGTTGGCTCTTATTATTAGCTATAGTTACAGTTAGAAGATGAAACAAAATGGGCAAATAATGACAGTGATAAACAGAGGTCTGGGTGTATAATTAATTACTCTGGAAGGTTTTAAGGTAAGCAACACATTTCAATTCATGTGAGAGATAAACCTTATTTGAACTCAGAACCACAGAGGAGAAAGAAAGCTGTGTAGTTAGACCTTTGTACTATTTTTATTAATTTAAAAATATATAAATTATTGATAATATGGTCATTTAATACATTAGTCTGTAAAACCAGTTCAAATCTATTACTTTTAACCTCCCATCTACTGGATGAATATTTGTGTTCATACCTTCTTGTCAGTTTTGGCAAGACTAAGGGCTTCTTCTGAATCTCTGGTCCAGATCATCTGGATTCCTAGCAGTCCAATTTGTGCAGGGAACATGGACTGGAACTCATACAGCTTGACTCCTGGATCACTTATAGCCATGTATGCTTGCCTTATTATATTGTGAATAGTCTTCTTCACCCCATCCAGCAGAAGTCCCAACCAGGCTTCAACATTCCCCTAGGCAAAAAGGTGTGGCAATTTTTAATAGCAGGGCAATGGAACATTATGAAATCCATATCAGTATTCTTCTTATACTTTATATATGTATATGTGTACAGTAGTATGCATACAATATGTATATTTGTATAATTGAATAATTTGTTCTTTAACAGGCATTAATTTGACAGATTATGATAAAGCACACATTCTATTGACCATAGCTAGGTAATAGATCATAGGAAACATGTAAAATAGGAGATACAGTATCATAAATGTTTTCAAAATCATCACATAAAATATATTCATTTTTGTACTGCAGGAATCAGGGTGCATTTTGTTGTGGTCTGTTTTCAAGTGCAATTACAAGAGCTACTGTATAATATCACACAGGTCTTTATATCTATTGTCACTGACTCCATGACATACAGTACCTGTGCCATCACAGACTCCATTAGGTCAACTGTTTCACCTTCTTGAGATTGGAAGTTGAGAATCTGGTCATAGTTCTTTTCATTAAATCCTACCCGGTTGACATTATCAAACAGACTTAGCAAGTGAGCCTGAGGAAGAATGGAAAAGAACAGAAGTCAGTTATCAAAAGACCTCTGGAAAAGCATCAGAGTCTTAATGCATTTTGTATATATTTTAGAGGCAAGCAGGTTTAACAAGAAGAGCAGAAAACAAAATCTACTATAGAAAGACTCCATAGTATAGAATAGGCCGTTTTCCCATATAATGCACCTGCAAATGCCCGTTTCTAATTGCATTGATTTTCTTTAAATTATTAAAGTTATTTTAAACTGTCCTTGAGAGATGACAAAACCTACACTAAAACCTGTTGTACTGAAACTAAATCTACTTATCTCAAAGTTATCACGATATTTCCCGTGGTAATCTTAACACTGAAAAAACACAGGACTGTTCCACATCCTAGTTGTAAGGACAATTGTATTTACTGTAGGTAATTAAAAGTCATTTAACATACTAAATAATTTTTGTTATAGTACAGTATGATGTAGTGAGCTTTTGGTTTTTATAAGAGAAAATGAGCAAATAGGGAAGACTGGAAAATAATGACATCCTGATATTAACACAGCCTTATTTCTCTATCATTGTAAAATTGATAAGCTACTGTATTTATGAGACTCTGTGTATGTGACTGGGAGGACAAGTGAGCATCACTTCCAGCCTAGTTTCTCACCTGAATGGTATGCGAGTCAGAGGCCTGGCCCAGGATTTCCAGTAGAGCAGGGTCAGACACGAAGAAAAACCGGGGGAACACCAGCCTCTTCTTCTCCAAATACCCAGTTAGGGACTTCTGGCACATCTCCAGCTGTTCCAGCAGGTGAGGCAGCAGCTGGGCTAGAGTCTCATCCCCTACACAGCACTGCACTATGTTGGGCATCTCATGAGCCCGCTGGATAATCTTCTGCCATGACTTGTCAATGTTCTGAAACCTTTTAGCCTCCTAAAACCATAAGAACAAACAAAGTTATGCTGTTTAACACTTGATTTCTGACTAACTTAACTTTTTTTTCAACCAGATTCACTTAGCCAGCAGCTTTGACATAAAGCATGTCACAGGACTGTATTTATCACTGCTTATAAATGTCCAGTGATGCAATAGGAAACTCTAGGCTTTAATTTATTCCTTTCCTTATTATTATATTGATACAAACAAAAATGCAACAATCAAACATAACGTCAGAAAGAAGACAACATTTTTCTTTTTATCTAAATTCAGCACTGCACGCTTATGCAGTTCACTGGGACACAGAAGTTTCTATTTGCTATAATCCCTTACATAAGATACTGAAAGGGGCGGAATAATGGGCCTCTTTGCTCTATACTGTATCTTCCTGTTGAAATCCTCTTGTAAATTAAAATATTTCTTGTGATTTTGTTTTGCAATAAGTTGAAAATGGCTTCTAAGAACCCTATCAATTGATTGATGCTTATCTTTATCCCCAGATAATAAAACCAACTCCAAAAACTGAGCAGTTTATGAAATCACTTGACTTGAGTTCAAGATTTTATTATTCTCTTAAACAATGCTGGTGAAACAATAACAAACCTTTGTAAAGAGCAAATAAGATGTATTTAAGAATTATTCATGTGTAACGGACTATTGTGCATTCTTTGTGAATCAGTATACAGTATATATATATACAGTATATTTCTTTACATGTTGTAATAGAAAAGGTCCATAACTTGACAAGAAATAACAAGAAATGCCTAAAATATCATGTTCCAATAAAGGACAACCATTGTTTAATTGGGAATTCAGTGATGCAAATTGTAACTAATTGTCAAGGTTTGTCACAAAGGATTTCACATGGTGAAACTGGTGACAATAGCAACTTGTTTTCTGCACAATCACAGAGAACACGATTGTGATTAAATATTACCTATGACAGTCACTTAAGATGGACTATACTTAAGTTATACAAAATAAATGTAACTTTTGAGTGGTTTATAATTAAAATCTTTTCGGTCTGCTTTAAATCATGGTACTGATGTTTGACTTGTGTAATATGATCTTCATGTACCAACCTGAGGCAGCTGCTTTGCAATGTCTCCCCCAACAAAAACAGCCTCCAGGTAAATCCAAAGGTTCTGCACAGTAAGCCAGTTCTCAATAATCTCTGTGGTGTTTGAGAGCTTTTGAACCCATTGTTGTATAGTTGGCTTAAATGGTGCATTGTACCTGAAACAGAATGCAGATTAATATAAGAAGACATACTGTATGTGTAAGTTTTCTGTCTATCTCTCCTGTTTGCAAATAAAGGATTATAAATACTGCATAACTGGTGTGGTACTGCAAAAGATCAAACATCACACATTTCCAGTGTGAAAACAGACAATCCAACATGATATACAGTATAATAGAAGGTATAGATATACAGTAGTATAAGTTCAGCAAAAATTTGAATCTTCTATAGCTTTAATTTTAGTATAGGCTGAAGTGATAATGGATTTGGATTATATGATTTTTAACAAAATTCATTTTCCAGAACAAAACATATTTTTGCAAAGTGAATAATATGAAAAACAAGAAAAGAAATATCCATAGAAATGTTGCTGGTCATCGTCATGAAACATGATTAGTTAATGTAAGTTTTTCTAAATGCTATGTTTTCTTTTTTAAAGATTTTGTTAACAAATCAGAACAATTCTCAGCCTACCTTAAGGACTAAATTGTCCTTCTGAAAGATTTATGTGAGAGCCTAAAACTTTATATATGAATAGAGCTGTCAGGTTTGAAAGGCACTGAATGTTTTTGGAATGCAGTACCTTTGCCTGGTGTATAATTGATCCTAGGTATGATGGTCAAAACTCCAAAAAATGTTTTTAAAAGTTTAGCTGTTTTAATAGATATCATTTTAAGTACATGGATGTTCTAGAAGCTTTTTTAAAGTTTGGATAATGATGTATCAGTACCCCCTTGTATGTGTGGCATGATTTCAGGTCTCTCCATAACTACTGTATGTCACAGAAGACTTATTATGATCAATAAATATCCAGTTAGATACCTGTCTGCATGATCAAAATCAATACTACTTGTATGCTAGAGAGATTGACACTGCCATCACAATGACTACTGAATAATTTTTCAATTTAAATTCTGTGTTTTTTTGAAAGTCCATTTGAAACCAGAGAATACCTTATTGATTGCCTGAAAACATGACTAAGAGCAGTCACAGACCATGCTAAAGCTATTTGTACAATACTGGATCTTAGTACCTTCGTCATGTGCCTCTTCATAAACAAAAGCGCTTTATTCTACAATTCTATATTAGTTGGTAGGATAAAGGTTTGTACTATATTATCAGTAAACTTGCGTGCACAAATCATTTTCTTTGTACCTGAAATCCACTTCAATAAGTACATTAATGAACTAATGATCCACTGTCTAAAAATGCAGATACTTTTTCAACAAATTACATAGGGCAGTCTACAAAATGCTATTTTTTAATTAAATTTCTAAAGTCTGTTGGAAAAATTGAAATGTATACAATTTAATAACAAAGCAACATGGATTACACATATGAGCTTTGCCTTGCTTCCATATTCCAACATTACCAAGAGAAAGGATGAAGAAGTTTGAATACAAAGACTACAGTATTAATGTATGTTCTGTGGATTAATAATAATTAATAATTAATAATAATTAATAATAATAGTCGTCACTTGTAAAATAATTTTCTTGTTGGATCTAAAGCCCTTTACGTGAATTGCAGTACCAAGTGGGTGACACATGATAGCCAGCAACCCCAGTGCACCACAGATTACAAAGAGAGGGGAGAATCTGCTTCACCAACCAAATTACTTGGGAATTTTAGGAAGGCTATGTACACATACAAGCTCAAAGTGGAAATTGGCCAGGACACTGAGGTTAACACTCCAACTCTTTCAAAAAGTGTCATAGAATGTTTAATGAAGAAGCACTGAGGACCTTCTGTTAACATCTCATCTAAAGGATGAAACCTCTAGAGCACAGTGTCAGGCATTGGTTTGGAAATTCTAGAACAACACTGAAGAGTTTTCCTCCTGGAAAATTCACCTACTGAGCCATTATCTCCACTTACAGCAGCCACCTGTTTTCCTTGGAGATCTCATATTCCAAGGTACACAGTACACAGTACTGATCAGGATAAGCTTAACTTAGCTTCTGAGATCTGACAAAATCTGGCTACAAGGTGGTGATGCTGCTGCAGGTTAATATCTGTTCCGTTTTTTTAGAACTTTAACTGTACTAATTTATCTTGCTTTACAAGTACTAGATAAAAGTTACATTATCTGTACAGTTATAACATTAAAAGAAGGCTTCTAAAGACATTAAGGATTTTAGATAACATTAAATACTGTTATTTGAAAAAGAGTTAATTAAGACTGACAGACAATATTCCCTGCTTTTTGCTGTTGCTCTAACATTTATTACTGTAGAACTGCAAATCTTAATAGTATACTGGTTTCTGTTGCCCCCTAGTGAAATAAATCAGCACAGCATAAGGCAATTGCAAGTTCCAACAACATTTATGCAAAAACAGAAGTGTACTGTATAGGATACATTGCAAATAGACTCTTTTTTTCTCACTTTAATACTTTAGCATATCTTGTTGTTAAATCTGGTAAAATAAATCTTTGTGTCCTTTAGAGGTGAAACCAAATGAACCATGTTATCCACCTGTTAGGTGCTAGTTTTATACAATCAGAATGAAAGAAGAACCACCAGTTTTTGTTTATTCAAGGAAAGTGATTGTAGAATCTTCCAATTATCCACATGTGAGTACTAGAGGACTGAAACATCTGTCCTTTTTCAGTTTTAGATCAAATTTCTAGGTACAGTACATTTAAAATACCTCAAAACTGCTACATTAAATGTTTTTGACTGATTTGGGGTCATTTGGGTAACTTTATGAGCACAGTGTTTGAAGGTGATATTTTAGAAGTGTCCAGTCTACGGTTAGGGTTAGAGTTTTACACAACACCTAGACATTTTGTGATGCATTTGCTGTACTTTATGGTGTATTTGAAATGCAGGATAAGTATTGTTTTGTTGTTTCCTTGACAGAGAAATCTGGCTCAATTTTGCAGTTTTTGTTCAGCCGTGAGCACCTGTCAATCAAAAATCTCAAGTTTGAAAACACACTTTCTATGTGTTTAAATCTCTTATCTTTGCATTTCTAACTAGACCAAATAATGCATTTAGCTCAGTTGTAATGGCAAATGGAATCCTAACCAGTACACAGCCCAAAACAGGCTTACAGTTGAAATAAGCATAGAAATCATTGACAGTTAAAACAGATTCACATCAGATACTTTATAGGCTCCTGCACCAGAAGTCTGTATACTGCCTGCTTACAGTGGAACAGCGTAGGCCCTAAATGACCAGTCACTCTGCCAGACAGTACCTGTTGCTCATCAGTGATGCCAGGATCATCAGGCTGTCCTCCATAAGGGCCACTTTTTCAGTGGTGTCGGAGCCCTTCAGCAGCAGCTCCCCCCTGGTTTTGAACTGCGCAAAGGTGAAGACATGGCTGCTCCATTCACTGATCACACTCTTCAGCTTGGCCTCAATATCCTTCTCCTTGATGGCACTGATGCAGATATCCTGCACAGGATCAGACCATTAGCCTGTTACCATAATCACTCTAGTATTCACATACAGTAATTACTGCATATGCACAATGAGTACAGTTTCTTTTACAGGATTATAATAAACTTGAAATAAGGTTAGGTCTTATTAGTTATTGTGCATGCATGCATGCATGCACAATTGGCCACTCGAGTTTTTTCCATTCTGTTTTAAGATTTTTCTCTTTTTTTAGGTGCATTTTTCCAGGAAACTCGGAAAATAGAAATATGTCACCGTTGATGCTTTAGAAAAATAGTTTGAATTACTTAAAGAACAGAGTTTAATGATGAATTTAGAAAATACTAGGAGGCAGATAAATAATGTAACTCCTCATTACATTGGGACTGAAGCAACCCTCAAGAGACAGTTGTTGGGTGTGCTTAAACCATTCAAAAAGGAAAGTGGATTAAACTTATGCAAAGTGGGAGGGCTGTGTGTTTAATATGTTTTGTGTATCATTTTTTGTTAGTAGGAAAGACGCACACAGAGATCAAATTCCGAATCCAACAAACCAAAAACCTCCTGAAGAAGCCCCTCCGTAAAAAGCCAGATTTAGTTAGTAAGTTTACAGAAACAAGTCATATGATGTTCTGAATTTAGAAGCCATTAAAATGATAATAACATTTTCATGTACAATACTGTATATAAAGTATGCTTCTATATCTTATTTCACTCACTTGAACCTAGTTCTAGTTATAATGAGTATGTACTGTACATTATAAAATATACTGTAAATATGAATAATATGACTTCATTCACAGGTCTTTTTTTAAATTCTGTTTATGGTTTTTAGCAAAACTATTCCACACTTAGTCACTAGATGAAGAAGTACCTCAATGTCTTCCTTATTTTTTAAGAGAGGAGCCTCCATTATGTTCCTGAGTGAGAAATTTTCAGACTCCACGTCAAATTTGTGCCCAGTTAATTCAGCAATCCGCTGCCAGTGCCGAGACATCATTGCCTGCAGAAGAAGAGAAAGGACAGAAAGTGATGGTGATAATTATTATTACTTATTTCATACTTTTCAATAAAAGGTGTGCACGCACTACTTGCATGTCTTTTTTCTGATGCTGACCTTAAGGTCCAAATAATATACTGTATAACAGTATGTGTTGCCAAAATATACAACATAGAGTATATTGTTCTGTAAGAAAAGTAAGTTCAAACATTTCAAAATCTGAAATTATCAGAGTCCATATGCTGTACTGTACTGTATATAACACATTTGAAGGATGACTCTGCTAACCTTATTTGCCATCATTTCAAGCAGGGGACAGGTTTCACTGAAGTCATCAATTGTCTTCTTCAGGTCATTGAATGCCTGCCACTCCTTCAGTGCTTTGGGGAGTTTGCGGATTCTGAGGGAACAAAAACAAAAAATCCCATAATTTCACATCATTGTATCAGCCATATGCACAATGGATTCCATTTTCCTGCTTTCAAGCTTTTGGTTTGTGAAAATATTAAAATATTAAATTAAAAATATTAAAGTGTCAAATATAAGTGTGAAAGTTTAATGTCAATTTCGGATCATTTTTGGGGGATTAAAAATTTACAACTAGCTGTGCCTTAATATTACTTCGAAAAGGTTGAGAATTTATGTTGACACTTAAAGGGATGGAACATTACTGTGACAGTCAGCACAGATACAGTACATTCATTTGGAACTTGTTTTAGAATGGTTGGGTAACATAAAGAGGATACTTTTATGAGTGATGATAGTAACATATCAAATTGTTTTATAGTTATTTTTTCTAAATTCCTTAAATATTATAAAAAAAAAAACAAATTGAGCTTCAGTTACTGAATGTAACCTTATAACACTGTTAACTAATGAGGCATAGCCATTGATAAAACATAACCAAAATCCCAGTACTTCACATTCAGTCAAGTTCACTTGTGACTAAATTATAGACTAAACTCTAAGCTATAATTACCTTAGTTAACTGTGCTGTGTTAATTACATTCTGAAATTTGTTTACGATTCCATTTTGTTGGAGGCACTGTGCGCTGCTCAAATTTCTTTTGCTTGGGTACATACCGATTCTGGAAATCCATAAGTTCATTGTTAATCTTCTCAATATCAAGCTCACTCCAAAGAATATCATAGTAGCCACTGACACTTTCTATGACTGAATTGTACAGAGTATAAAGCTTCTGGAGCAGATTAAGCTCCCTTTTGATTCTCTGAAGGTCAGGATATTCTGGGAATACAAAATAAAACAGAAACATGAGATATATATCTTCAACTTGATATGGAGCTGCTATCTGAGCAGACTCCATTTCCTTAATGTTTTTATAAAGTGACTGCTAGGTACTATAAAGGCAGTGGATTTTAACAAACCCGGTGTAGATCTATAGAATCAGAATCGATACACAATAATATAATCGCCCATTAAGGTAACAAGAATGTAAAGAAAGTTGAAAATGTGAGGAGGCCAATTAGGACCTGTTGCCTCTTTGTTAGTTTAGAAGCTATGCATGTTCCAGATATCCACACTTCTTTGTATAAAGAACCATTTCCAATACTCCATTATAAATAAATTCCCTTTAGGTTTCTAAATATGACCCTACTGTATGTCTTTGTTTCACTATTGATTGTGAAAGGATAGCCCTGTCTATACCCAATATACTTTTTATCATATCTCATCTTAATCACCTTTATTCCAAACTGAAAAGATTTAGCTCCCTTAATCTGTCCAAATATAACAAATCTTTGAGACCCAGAACTCTTCTTTCGTAACTCTTCGTTGTAATATCAGTTTTGTTATATGGTCTCTGAAACTGAATTTAGGCTGAAGTATAACTTCCCTTTATTCATTCCACACATATTGCTATTAAGAATTGTTACAGAACCATGTATTCTGTTTGCATTTTTACTCCTTCCCCAATTTTCATCAGGACATAGACAAAACTGCTGTGCATAAACAACCAGCCCAAAGTTAGTTAAACAAGGCCTTCCTTGTTTCTAAATATATTTTGTATCTCTGAAAATACCATTGTTTTGTAAGAAAATGTTAGATTTCATTTAACTCTGATGAAGTTAATCAGCATTAAATGAACCTTTTAGAAGTACTGACAGTAACCAAAGAGTTTACTGAAGAAAATCTGCAGTCTTATAATAGTACATGGTGTCACTATTCATAGAATCACCTACAGGTCTTAAAAAGTCGTCGATGGTAAGTGCAATATCACAGTGTGCTCAAGGGTTCAGTTAATGGTTTCTTTTCGAGAAGACACATTCACAACAGGTGATGGCTCCCAGTGTGCTGCTTGCGACCTCAGAGGGTAATTACCTTTCACCGTGAGGCCGAACAGCTCCTCTCCTCCGGAGTAAGTGATAAATTTCTGCCACAGCTCATCAAACTGCGCCTGAAAGATCTGTAACCTGTCACTGGCTTCACGGGGGGCGATGCCTTCCACACCAGGCCCTCTGCCAAGACCAAGATGTTTTAATTTCGTTGTGCTTGGGAGAAATTCTGTTACACCTACAGTATCTGAGCTGTTAGTTTTAGTGTTAGTTCGCATACCTACAGTATATTTCACAGCTATCCTGCAAATAAGAAGAAGCACGCAATTTCTTTGAGGGATGAACTAAGCAAACAGTGGGCAGTAACATTGTTCTCCTGTAATTAACCCAGATCAAAAATTATTATTGTTCCTTTTGCAAATTGCCATGTTTAATGCTATCACATGTGATTTTTTAAGCACTGAATATTTATATTCATTGCCTATTGTTCAGACAGCGCAGCCTACCATATTTCTTTGCAATCTGTAATTGAAAACCTTCCCTAATAATACATTTTTTAAGAAAAATGTCACTTTGGGATTCCTTGCTGACTGCTTCAGAGTCTGCTGTAATTGTATCCATCCATGTTCTATTTGTATAAGAGCTGAAGCTGTCATAAACCCACCTTCAATACTGCCATATCAATATTTAACTGGTGTCCTGACAACCTCTCTAATTTCCTCTCATAGGTACAGACACTACTGCTTTGCCATTACAGTCATAAAAGTACACCTGAACCCTACTGTGCTAAAAAAATTTATCTGGGCTTTGGAGAATATTTTGTCTCAAAACGTAATCTTTATTTTCACTGTTTTCTATCATGATGAAGGACTTTGTGTCAGCAGATGGGATGCCAGATCTTTTTCTTTTTCTTATTCATTTAATTCCTGTACAATATTTGAAATATTTTTTCTGCAAATCTGGAATTTAATACTTTTTTATGGTTATTTAATAAGATTTTTTGAATATAAGTTATCAGAACATACAGTAGATAAGATGCAATGCAGAAAAGTAGGGTTAGGGGGTGGCAGATTGAAATCAGTTCATATTTTCTGAAACTAAATATATCATATGTTGTATGAATCCTCAGAGGAAGCCCTTTTCTTATATTTTGTGTCAAGGCAGAATAAGTCACAGATTCAACTGTTTTTTTTCCTCTCTGACAGGTGAACAAATCACAACAACACAGTCTTGCCCTATGTCATAGGTACTCATTGCCTGCTTATTTACCTTGCATCATAGTCCGCATAAAAAACCTGCACAGCTGATTGAAAGTATTCCACACCAGTCAGCAAATCGGATTTCATTGCAGGCTGAATCTTCACAAGTGTGTTCTGGGTTTGTAGAACCTGAGTATGGTTGAGGGAAAATATTTAACTATGAAACTAACAATGAACAAGAATGCAAGGAGTGATGAAGATATGCTGTAAATAATATGAATAGGATGACTTACAGTATATACTGTGACTTCAATGCATGAAATGATTTTGCAGACTTTTATAGGAAGAAAGATTTAGCATTAAGCATATCAATATTCATAACCCAAAACTGGGATGATGCAAACGTTTGAAGCTAAAATCAATCTGGCTCTCACAAATTATCTTAATTTAAGCATTTAAAACAATAGTTAGAAACACTAACCAAATTGAAAATGTAATATTTTTCTAACCGTAACCAAGTTCTACCCAAGTCTCAGTTCTTATTGTGATCTGAAAAACGTCTTTAAAATCAGTCCAGATTTGGGCCATTAGTGATAAATTACTTCACAAAAACAACCCAAATATAGTCATAATGTAATAAAATTACAACATACTGTATACACTTCATTTTTAACTTGAACAAACTCACAGCCATATTTATAATTTAAAACTTTGCCAAACTTTTTCATCCAATCCAGAGCCTTGCACATCTAACTGTTGTCCAGTGACTAAACACTCTAATTTGTGAATCATTTTATTCCTGCTTCATGGTGACATTTACCAATAAAACACATAACAAAAATACAAAAACAAAACATTTTGTAGATTACAACAGCTACCCATCTTATGATAAAAATTAAAAGTATGATTGACTTTTTAGTTGCATTGTCAAACTGTGAATTGCATACTGTAGATTGTCTTTAGATTATAACAAATGAACAGCAGAAGGAAGAAACTCCATCTTTGTTGATTGAGATATTTTTACACCTTTTCAAGCAGAAAATTTAAAATGATCGAATTGTAATCTCCCTGTAAATAATAAGCAAAAATGTTATTTTTCACATAATAGGTACTACAGGAAGCATGTTGAACCAACCTGTGTGTTAAGGTTCTTCCAGGCATAAGCGAGACCATCTACCCTTTCTGCATTCCCATCCTTGAAGAGGAGCTCGTGCCTGTTCAAGAGGGCATAGGACTCTTCAATGGGTCCTATGGTAATGTCTATTCGGATCTCAGCCTCTCGGATTTCCTTCAGTGCAGCCATGGTCCCTCGGACATCATCCAGGTCCTCGACGGGGCGGTTCAGCCTCTTGCTCAGGCTGTCAATGAAGGAGTAGATCTCCTCCATGTCTGTGGAGGCCTTCCGGTTCAGAGCTGCCCCAAAGGCCAGCTTCCAGTTGCGGCACTCTTGTGTCAGAGAGAGCTTCAGTGGCTCGGTGTCAAACTGCACAGAGCCTACTGTGCGCACAGGGGGCAACTCTGCGACCTGGGCTTCCAGTTTCTTTTACGGTAAAGACATAAAAAAAAGCCTAGGTTAATTATAATCTCTCTGGCTATTGTCATACTGTATACAGAAATGTTGTTGGAAATTATGCAGGTGGCAAACATGTAGCACAAATTGTTTTATGTTGACAACATAACATTTTTGACAAAAAGAAATGTAAATATTTAATTTTACTCGGTCACTTGGACAAATAAAATTGTGTATGATTAAGTGTATGCTTTTGATAGTCTGTGACTTTAAGTCCTTTTTTATTGACTGATTGACTGATTGATATCATCTGATTGATATCATCTTCAACAAAAAGGTAACCTGCATAGATATGTCTAAATCCTGTAGATTTATTTCAGTGAATACTAGATTTGGTGCATGCAGAGATCTGAAATTCCATACTTTCTACCATCATCTTACAGTACTAAGTGAGATTGGTGAATGTAAATGTTTTTTAAGTAACAATCCCTCCCCCCCCCCATCACATTCTTAAAAACCATTTGGTATACATTGTCTACATCCAAGAATCTCACCAAACTCAGCTTTTACTATCTACTGTATGCTCATTAAAATACATTTAAAAATATTTTCATGACAAATACCAGAGACAACACTTACTGAGTAAGAGGTAATCTGAGCACTGAACTCTGACAGTGATGGGTTGGTCTCCAGAAATTGTTTTACCTGGTCCTCTGGATCCTGCAAAACCAAAAAAAATATGGGATTGTGTGGATGGTGCAGTAATTTCCAATGTGGAAGATCAAAGGATGTATTGCTAATATGGCTACCATACTTATTGTTTCCTGGAAATATCCTCCTTTTCAGTCCTTAAAGCTCAGTACAGGAGAGATTTCCAAATATCTTAAAATATCCAGGATTTTCCCATTATTCCTTTTCCCCAAAGGATTTCCATGCAAAATGATTCTCGGGATTGAAAGAGTGTTCATCATTCAAAAGAGAGAAAGTCTGATCTTAGACTTGTCTAGTTCACTGCCTGATTCAGTTTTCATTCTGAACAGATACGATTTTTCCAAAGACTCTACCTCTGTCTCAGCCATTGCACTAATGTCTAAATCCATACTGTGTATATTAGTGTCTCTTCAAGACATCTTTGTGATAATTATCTTATTCTGCTCCCCCCAAAACAAACATGCAAATTCATTGCAGAAGTAATTTCAAAGAAGTGGAGAGGAACAAATTTCAAATTTAAATAGTAAATTGTGTATATTTAATGTTTTATGTAGAAACTTGGATGTGCCAGTGCTGAAGAGTGATTCAATTTGCTATTTCAGCATACAACTGTAGAATCTGTCAATTTAAGTCTAAATTAGTTATAAAACTAGTAGCCAGAAACATTAAAAACTTCATTAAAATGGTAGTGTTGGAATGCTAGGCGACAGCTTCTGATTGTGTTATAATGTAATGTTGGATGAAGAAAAGTTGCATTCATGAGGAACAGAAGAACACTGAGAAAGTTCATGTAAACTGTATGGTGGCAAAACTAACATTCTCTCATGGATGTTGGAAGGGCATGCCATGGAATGGCCAGGAGAGCAATCACGTCCACGGCTGAGAGCTACCCCCTAAAAACCTTTGAGTAGAGGAAGGGGGGAGCAGACAGGGCTCTGGGGGAGTGAGACAAAACACATGTACAAAAGCACACACTCCAAAAATAAACTTGGGCAACAGGACAACATACT